CCCCCTCCCCCAAGAGAGAGATATTGAAAGGTAAAGCAGATGCAAGAGGTTATGGAGGCAATCTTGTCTACAGAGGAGGAGCAGAAAAAGGCGGAGGAATCCCTCACTTCAAATGAGATTAGGGGGATGTGTAAAATGTGGGAAACAGTGCAAAATTTTGTAGAAAAGCACCACCAAATAAGCCTGTAGCAATAAGCAATAAGGCTGTGAGAGATGAATCTATTTAACGACAATGCAATGTCACATGTCCGTGAAATCCTCAAAAAGAGGCAGAAGCAATTTTCACTGGACAGGTTTCTTGCTGAAGTTGGATGAAAAGAAAAAGATTCCATTGAGTCAATAGATAGCAGTGATTCCGTTAATGACAGTGAAAGTTGTCCTAAACAATAACCCTCCTCTCTCTTGTCTCCCTCACATCAGCCATGAAGGTTTTCAAAGTGCAGCTTAATTTGTTTTATTTTTCTTTATAGTTTGTATTTTCTTTATTATTTTGTATTACATTACAGCATTGTAATCATTTTATATGAACATTTTTGGGTTGTGGAATGAATCATCTGAGTTTCTATTATTTCTTATGGGGAAATTCGCATTGATATACAGGTGCTTTGGATTACAAGCATGTTTCTGGAACGAATTATGCTTGCAAACCAAGGTTTTACTGTACCAAAAAAGTAGCCCTCTGTTTATGTGCACAGCTTGCCATTGAACAGAACAAGGAATCTCCAGCCAGTAATTGCTACATGTGTATTGCCAACTGAGAATTACTGAACACATATGAAGAAAAATTGGGGGAGATAAAGCTGGGCAGAGGAACACAGGCACAGAATGACAGTTTCTCAAGAATCATTTCTCATTGTTAAGGAGCAACTTCAGTGTCAAAATAATAAAGGAGCAGCCAGCTACCATCATGTATAAACAAACTCTCAACATGTTGAATTATCACGCTACAAAATTACACATGCACATAGCTGCACTAGATCTACCACATAACTAACTAGTTAGTGACCTACTGTTTCAAAACTTCCTTTGTGCATCAGATCAATTGGAGGCCTGAAGAGATCAGCAAGGGTGGTGAGTTTCTTATCTATTGCTCCCCCGTTCCTCAGTTCTTGCTCTTGTCTAACTGTGGAAGCCAAGAAGAAGAAGAAAAGGAATTAAATAACAAGTTCACAAAAGCATGCTCATCTGCTTTCATTATCTAGAAATAAAACATACTTGTTACAATTACACAAGACTTATTTTAAAATACAAACCAGGAATGAAGGAAGGAGAGAAAAAGAAAATACATAGAAAAGAAAATTCTAAAGTGATTAGCTAAGCAGTGTCCAAGCACTGCTTTTACCAAGCAGTGTCTAATGATGGCCACTCTAGATTATTAGCTTTAAAGCAATTGGTCAATAAAAAGTATATGCTATGTACATTTAGAATCTTATGTTAATGGAAATAAATGGTTGATGTCAAGCAGTATCAAAATAACATAAATCAATAAATTTAAGTATTACTTAGCTCTGGCAAAGTTCCTTTTTTCTCACCCTTTAATATCAAAGCAGTATATTTGTGTGTAGCAAGCTACACTGCTGCTTATGAAGAATTTTCAGTTTAAGGGTGATTTCTTGATGGTGTTGCAGTATTAAGAACACATACAGCCATAAGATTCCAGGTACAATCACCCCTTTCCCATTGATCACAATAAAGTTAATTTTCTCTTCTTTCTTGTATGGACAATATACTGATTGTGCAGGTCACATTTCTCAAATAAGAACCATGAGATCAGTCAGCATTTTAAAGATAGTTTGTAATAAGCAAATGTGTAGGTCTTATTTTCTCATCCAATTCCTGTGACCCTCACCAGCTTATATTTTCCTAATTCTCTCACTGCCAGGTTTCCTAACCCTGTTCCAATTCTCCTATTGTCTGGATTCAGGGAGACTTTAGTGGAGGGATCAATCCACGGTCTCAGTTTCAGTGGCTGTTGCCAAAGGATGCTCTAAAGATGCTCTCAACAATAAGGCTCCCTAAGTAACCATTTAGTGTTATCAGCTGGAACTGAATCAGACTCTGCTGAATAGCTTTTATCAGAAAAAATAGGAACACAAGCCCAATTACTCTTGCTTGATTTCTCAGTAATTTTTGATATCAATGACTCCTAGGATCCTAACTGGATCATCTCCATGTGTACTACTTTACACTAGGGCGCTGCTCCTACCTGTAGGATCAGTTGCAGTGAGTATACAAATCTACAGTCTTTAGGAGATTCTATTTGTTATATTTGAATCAAGAGAGACTATGCAGGTCCTAGACAAGTATCTAGATGCAGCAGTGTAACATATGGGACTAAACTAGGTCCTAATAAGAACCTAGGCCCTCTCACTGAGTCTTCATGTTCTGGATGGAGCTGCACTCCCTCTAAAGGAAAGGCACTCACAGAACTATCATTGTAACTATCAAGTAGCCACAATGACAGGAAGTGCTTTCTGCCAACATTAGCCATTCTTAGACAGGGTTAGCTCAGCCACAATAACCTATGCATGCATAACCTCTCCCACTGCACTCTGTGGGGCTGCCCTTATGCATGAACTGGAAGCTGCAGCTAGCACGTAATGCAGTGGCAAAGATGCTGTGCCATGTGCCCAGCTGCTGCCACAGAACAGTTTTTTAAAGGCTTCCAGTTTTCCACCAGGTAAGGTTTAAAATCTGGTATGAAGACATAATCCTCTGAACAACTTTCCAGAAAGAATGCCTTCTCTCATATAAATCTGCCACGTCACTGTTATCATTATCAAAGGGGCTCCTGGTTGTGCCATACTGTTGGGATTGGCCTGGCCTACAATTGCTGCAGCTCCCCCAGGTGGTTTGATAGAGAAGGCCACCTAAACATGTGGATACCTGCAGGATTAAGCACCAGGCAGGTGAATGAGCACAGGAAGTACTTTTAGTCCTATCAGGCAGGCCAGTTGGGAACCCCACTCTTGCTGTTTGCACCCAACATTGCCACAGCAGCACAGCTCTTCATCATGGCTGCATCTTGCCCTTGACGTGCTTCAACAGTACCCAATCTTCACCTCACCTCTGTTCTTCTCCAGTTCCTGACTCTGCTATTGTTTCTGGTCCTGCAATGCTTTCATCTGTGTTCGTCCTACACTTGGTCAAACTATGTACTGGTCTTAGGTTTCCCACAATTCCTCCATTTTCTGGTCCTTGTTTTTTCCCCCCTGTTCTACCTCTGCTGTCCCTGAATTCAGGGTCTTTCCTAAGTATGCCTGCTGCTTATGACCTAAAGCTGACACAGAGTCTGCAGATGGCCTTTTCCATGCTGGTGCCTGTAAAATATGTGGCAGAAATAAAACATATGTTGACTCTGTTGCAGTTCACGTGCATGGGGAAAATTTTTTTACTAGCCCCAGCATTCACCTATCTATGGCACCTATTATGATTGCCTATTGCTTTGTTATATAGGTATACTAAGCTTTTAGCCACAATGTACATTTATATTGTAGTTTTATTGTTGTACACTGTCAGGATATTTAGAATGAGCAGCATAAAATTATTTCAATAATAATGGTTGCCACAATATAAATAGCAGGTTTTGAATTATGAGGAAGAACATGCATTTGAATATTAAACTGAAGTGAAGACTGCGTATCAGATGATCATTACATCTGCTCCAATAAATGAAAAAAAAACGACTGTACTTAAAAAGTTTGCTTCTTAATAAAGCAATGTAACAGTAAGCCAGAAAACTAAATTATCAGAATCTTGACAACCACACTGTTAAACTATAGGCAGATAAAAACTAACAGAAGTTTAGAAGTCCAAACACACAGCTTTCCAAAGACAGTCAAAAACATTTTAGTGGCTCCAAAAGTCTGTAACTAATCTTTTGGCCAGCAATATTTTTTTCTGTATATAAGCATACACCAACTACAAATGCAAACTTCATTATGACAAAAGAATGCTTCAATTCTCTGTAGCTTAAAAGCAGAAAAGTATACAATCCAAAAAAACCAAAAACAACAGCACTCACTTGGAGTTAAGTTGACCTATTGCTTTTTCTTGTTCATAAACATGCAAATTATGTATTTTGCATATGTTTGCATACAATGAAAAATACAATTACTGCACAACCCACATAGCTTGGATAGGAGCCAATGAGTATTAAATACAGGATCCAACAATTTTTTGTTTGGCTCATTAGCTTGTGAAGTTATTGTAAATAAAAGGAAGGGGAATCAGGACTCACATACAGCCCTGATTTAATAAATTATATTGCAAATGAAAATTAGTTGTTACAATTAACTGCATCTGAAGCATCATTTCTACCTGATAAGAGCTATAACATGTTTAAAGACTGCCACCAAATAGTGAGCTTGCTTCCCCAGCCTGCACATACATTTTTCTGTGCTGATGCAAGGGATTTTACTTTAAAATTACAATCCCTTGGAAAGTAATGCCATGCTTATATGGTAACATAGGGCCACTACCACATGTGGAGCAAGTAGCAGATTTTCTTTTGCTTGTGGCTACACAATTCAGTCCTATATCAAAATGCAACAACTGGGTAGGTAATATAACACATACAGTAACACAAGTACTAAAGGCTCCAGACTGCTAACTCCAAATATAGTAAATGAAAAAAGGGAAAATGGTATATGAAGATAATGATCCACAGATACCTACTAGTTTCTGTCTGGAAATCCCGAAAACCATCAAATATTGAACGAGCAGGTCTGCGTCTTTTTGGAGCTTAAGAAGAACAGAATTTGTTATATGAATTAGTCATATGAATGTTTTAATACAGGTGCACTGTGACTTCCTGGTGTAAAAAACTGAAGCTTCAAGAAAGGTTTGTATTCAGGGATGACTTGTTCACTTCCGAATGCCAAAAACAGATTGTGCTAATTTGTTGCATATAGGTTCCCACCGGCCTATGAATTCAATGTTATCGGTCTTCAGATATTCATATATATTTATTTCATATTTATAGGCTGCTTTTACAGTGATTTATAGACTAAAAACCAAGTACAATCTCTCTCCCTTCACCCCAAAACCAGCATGGGTGTGGGGTGGAGGGAGAGAAATAAAACAGAGCCTCTGGGTCAATACATTTTGTCTAAATGACATTTCCAGAGCCAATGCCTTTTCATATGAGTAAAGCTTTATGTGGAACTCCTACAACAAGTAAATTACTATGGCAAAGAAGGTATCAAATACATTAGAGGTATTAGATATTGATAAAAAGGATATAATTAATTGCCAGAATGTGCCAAATTCTGCCTTGTAGAATATTTAGAGTTGAAAAAGCAATTCCTAAGATGATTAATCAAGGGAGCAACTCTATGGCCTGTTGACATTGCCTGAAGAGCAACAGGAATTTTCAATTTCCCAATTCTGAGGCTAGAGACTGCACACCCACATCCACTTGTAACTGGTGTAGAAAGAACAACACTGACAGGTCTCTGAGGTCAAGAATCAACCCGGAGAAGAACAAAAAGAGGCAGGAGGCATAGAAAAGACTGGGGAGAACAAGTTATAAGGCACCCTGGGGCCTCTCCAGCATCTCTCCTTCTCCCTCTGAAATGCCATATAGCAAAAATGTAGAGTGGGAGAGAAGGGAAGTAAAGATAGCTTCTACTGCTCCTCCCACTCTACATGGGTTGATGCTCATCTTCATGGGACTATGGCCTAAATTTGCTGGTAACAGTTAATATTTTTGGCTGTTCTCTTTCAAGTGAACAGAATGCTAGATCGTAATCCGCAAGAGGTTAAAAATTTAGCTTTAAAAATTATTATACTTGAGTTGGTTAATTTAGACACTCTATAAATAAAAATTGTCTTGTAACATGTTACACGCTGACAAATATATTATGGCTTAAACTTCTTGGGCTAGAGTCTCCTTACTTTTGCAGCAGCAGACTAAGCACATTAACCAATGCAAATTACACTGTGTTAGTATAAGGGAACTCTAAAAACAACAGTATTCTTAGCTTGCATAACAAGTTTTTTATGGAATCCTGTCACACAATCTAACCCTACTGGTGCTATGCAACAAAATGACATTATTGAATACTTCCCAAACACTGCTACCCTCTGAAATTTAAAGATACAGTACTACAGCCAATTGATTTAAGGCACTCACGTTTTACTGGTACAACTGAAGTGCATATTATGCAACCTATCGTTATGAGCCAGTCACCTCCTCTAAGTCATCCTCTGGTGAATTTTCTACTGTTGCATAAGCAGTTTCATGAATCTCCAGGGACAAGTCACCCGATTATGTGCTATCTTATTACTCCAATAACATTTTTCAGTATGTAACACGTAATTCTTGTCGCTCAGCTTCTAGTCACCAACCCAAATTGACCTCCAGGGATTGCATTTCTTAATATATCTCACAGAAGCAACCTTTTGTCTAAAAACTTAGCTAGGAGGTTTTCATTGCCAACTCCCCATGCCTTTAGAATAAAACATACTGTTTCCCTTTAGTTTGTCCACAGAATGATAATCTGTGAAAACAGAATTTTGGAAACAGTATCCAGAATTTGAAATAAAGTTATGAAATTTATTTTCATACTACCAAGAATTTTAGTCTCTAAATACTCTCAGCAGCAGAATACTCAGCTGTATACATTCCACAACAATTACCACTAGTTAAATGCATATTTACCAACTTTGCCAGCCACTAAGGTCATTGGCTGGTATATCCCTGGTTGTTCCACAAGGACCTACAGCCTGATTAGAGTCCACTTAGAGGACAGCTTTCAGTATAGCAGGTCCACTTCTGTGGAATTTCTGAAACAATATGCAAGTAATGATCTAACCAGTCATAGTTTAATTGATATGGTTTTTTTATTTTAATAATTATTTTTAATTTGTTTTATCTTTTATTGTTCATTGCCCTGAAATATTTATAATACAATATACAGCAGTGCACACGCACGCACACACACTGCAGCAGCATAAATAGTGCATTAGCTGTAGCCCATTAGAGATAGTGCAGCAGGACCCCTATATCTGCACAGACTGGTTTCCAAGGCTCCCAACGCATGCCTGAAGTTGCAGATAATAGTAAACACTGTATTATACTGTACATACACTCCTTTTTTCACAATTTCATTTGTTCTTACCTCAGCATACAATGTTTTTCTTTCCTTATTAATTCAAGAATTTTTGCTTACAGGAAACACTTTATGTCTTCTCTCTAGTACTTTATGAGGTCTCTTTTGGGCTGCGGTCAACTGCAGTTAACTGAAAACACAGTAACTGAACCAGTGGATATGGGGGTCCTGCTGTACTTAACTAGGAATTGACTTAGTAAGCATTGGCACTGTACCTCCAGTTCCACATCTAGAAAATGGGGATAGCAGGAACAATACACTCTATGATGTGTATGAGATATTATATTCTTAGGACAAATATGAAAGATTGTACTTTTATGTGTAACTGACACTACTGGGAATATAGCCGTAGCATATATAACTGAATACTGGGAATTCACCTGCTAAGAAGGGGGAATAATGGCCACTGCATGCAGGAGGCAACCTGCCAAAGTTAAATCTTAGTGCTTTGAAAGTAAGCAATAAAATAACGGTCACTTACCACCAAATAAGGGTTCAGGTTCTACTAGAATTTCCTGCTTTTGAGGAATTGGTGCTCTTACTTCCTCTCTATAAAGATTAGAAACACATAACTGTTTAAGCACAGCAGCAACAGCAGTAAACACTAAAGGCAAAAAAAGCCAAAATATTCATTGCCATAATGCATCTAATCAAAAGCCATACATGTAGTATAAAGTTTTAATTGCATTGTTTGAGCGAAAACATTCCTGATAGGTTTCAAAGTATAGATTTATTTAGCACACATAAAAGAGATTCCTTACAGATAGCAAACTGAGCCTATACAAGACTGAGAGGCAGGGCTTTATTCCTTTAACCAGTTTCTTCAAAACTATCAACAATAATGCCTAGTGTGACAGCTGGACAGAATAGTCCTAAAAGCAGTAAAAAAGAACAAACTGTATTCCAACAATATTCATATATTTTAGCTTACATAACAAGGAATTCAACAAATCATAAATTCAGAAATGCTGGTCTCTTTCTTTCTTTGCAAAAATTTACTTTCAATATCTTCTACTTAACAGGGTACTGTTATGAGAGCACTGCACAATTTTCCCATGGTACTCAAGTCCAGCTAACATATTTATTTATATGATACCTTTCCATATAAGCATTCAATGTGGCTCAAGAAATACAACAAAACAGAACAATCTGCCAGTCATAGTATTATTTTTACTACACTAGCAAGAAAATCAATCAAAATAAGCAGAAGATCTGGAACAATCAGATTTTTAGCACTTCACAAGTTGTGACATTGTGTTCTATGTGCATTAATCAGTAAACCAGCAGTAAATACTTCAACGTTATTTACTCATAAGACTTTAACTCCCAAACCAAGCAAACCAAGGAAGTGAACAAGCAATTCATTTAAAATACTAGGCTGCATGGCCTTCCAGATGTTGTTGGAATGCAATTTCCATCAGCCCTAGCCAGCATAGTCTATGGCAAGAGATAATGTGATTTACAGTCCCAATAGCATCTAGAGAATTACAAGTCCATACCTAGGACTTCAGCTCCTATACCCAACGAATTGCCAGTACTTGTCGTTACTAGGGTATAACATGTATAGATGCTCAGAGCCACAAAGCACAAGAAATGTAACATTCTACTTGTAAAAATAAAAATGTGGATACATGCAAAGGTTTAACTGAATCTAATTCATAATTTTCTTTTTCTTTCTTGGCATTCAGTGCCACAGTTACAGTCATATTTGCAACATTTACATTCTTCTCAAAGAAGACAAGGAATCTCTGACAAGTTATGGGAGGAAATGATTAAAGATAACAGCAAATGTAGTAATCTATGAATAGCAACTTGCCCTGCACTTCCCTGAATTGCACTAAACAACTAAACTGTTAGACTCCTGTGACAACAGTAAAATGGAAGTAGTTTAGCAGGAGAAATAAGAACTTCGATAGCAGTATATACTGACAACTCTTGTTTCTGAATTTCAAACATTTCAAACATGATTAGTCATGCTATGAATATTCACAAAGCTACATACTCTGTATGTGGTCGGAGGTTTGATACACTTGCAGAACTAGTGCTGGGCTCCTCTGCTATCCCTCCACCATCAAGGAACATAGTGACAGCCATTTCCAGATTATTGTTGCATGCTTCAAGCATATGTTTGCCCACACTTTCACTGGCACCTGGGATACAAGGAAAAACAAGAGAAGTTCAGAAACATATTTAACATGACAATAAATATAACTTTTCTAAATGAGCTTTATTTTGCATTTTATGCTTTTAAAAACACTTAAAATAATAGCTTAAAGATATTGATTGCCTTTCCTTTCTCTGAACAGTATCGAGGAATATGAGAATGAGAATACATAAATCCTAATGACAAGTAACACTACAGTACACTTCCTCTCCCCATTTGTAACCTATAGTCACATGAGGAAATGACCAGTCTTCCACAAATCCCTTTACCTGGGTGCCAGAGTCATAGTTATCCTGACACTCTTTCCTGCTTCTGGGTTGATCAGGATACATAATAGTGCAAACAGACAAATTCACATTAACTATGAATTACACATTACAAAGAATCCATGGAAGTTTCTTTATGTTGTAGCACAATATGGAGCTTCTAACTATATTAAGATTTAACAAACATTTTAATCTACATGTAAGCTGAAAATGGATTAGATGAAGGCTTTATATTTGCACTGTCTTTCATGTATACCTGCACTCTCTTTCCATCCCCACGTTCAAATTATGTATGATGAACATCAAATATGGCTAAATTTACCTAATTTTTAAAAAATCAAAAACTTTAAGCTGAATGAACATTGTGTACTTCTCTTAGCAGAAGTCTGGATAGACATGATATGTTGGATGGATACATTTACACAACTCAATTGCTAACTCTTCCTAGACAGGCTTTCCCTGACAATCTGAAGACAGGACATATGCTTCCTAAATGCTGAGAGAAAGCTCAGAGTCAATATTAAAGTATTTCCTAGCTGTGATTCAACTTTCATTAACAGATTTTATATCTTTAGTAAAAAAGAAAAGATGTAGAATTGTCTTCTGCCTTAATACCTGATAGAGATCAGCGGATTGTTTGGTATTAATTCAGGTATACCATGACTAATTGACCAGAAAGAGAAACCAAGCCTCAGGTCTATATGAAACTAGGAAAACCCTAGACTATGTAAAGAATTTTAGGATCAAATTGATCAACATGACTGATGGTAGCAGCATATAACTCATGATTTCCATGCTGAGAACCTAAGAGGTCTGTTGAAAAATGGCTAAAACTGTATCAGAGAGAAATGACACACTTTAACAGAGCAATCTGACAAAATTCAAAATGTGACATTTAAAAACTCTTTATTCTCCAACAGTGCTATCACAAGGTGATATGGGCATTTGCAGAGATTAAAACCAGGCAGAGAGCATGTGTGGTGTGGTAGTTAGGGTGCTGGACTGGGGACCTGCAAGATTGCTCATGGTTGCTGGTGTAAAGATAAAAGGGAACAGATAAAAACTTAGAAGAAAAGACAGGCAAAACAAAAGGAAGACAAATAAATATGCAACAAAAACAAAGGTAGTCACAAACTTTCATGAGAAAAAAGAATCTAAAATCTACATTTGTTATACCATTATTAGGACCAAGCAAAACTTTACAAGAAGCTCAAAAAAAAGCAGGCAATCAAGAAAACATAGAAGAACCAGTGTGGTGAACTGTGCACCTGGGACATCCAAATTATAGTCCCCACTCAATCATGAAGTTTGCTAGGTGACTTTGAGTTAGTGATTCTCAGCCTAGCCTATTTCACAGGAGTTTCTGTGAGGATAAAATAGAATAGGGGAATGTTATGGAAGCCAATGGAAAAGGGGGAAAAGAAGATTATAGATGAAGGGTAATAACAATAAAAGTCCAAACATTTGAACAGGTGTTGTGGGCAAGAGATCTGTAGCTAAGACAGACCCAGTCTCAAAATGGAGAATTTCCATCTGAATTAGTCATGGTAGATCTTTCATGGGGAGTCCTGCATATATCAGATTGTATTTAGCAATAGAGAAGCAACAGTTGCATTTAGAATTATTACAGCTCTGTCAAATCTCTGTACAAACTGAGATAAGACAGACATGAATTCACTAGATGTTCATAAGTAATCTTTCATTGGGGTCAAAATAAATTAAAGCCTTCTTTGTTATAATGAGGACACTCATTTTTAAAAATATTAGTGGTTGACAGACACATCAGAAAATTCTTTAAATGTGGCAGTATTAAGGCATCTGAATATGGCTTCTGAGACAATCTTCAGAGTCTGCAAACACCTTAAGCCATACCTTTTCTTTTCCTGTCTATAACCTTTAAAAATAAAGATTACAGAGTTAATGAAGCCACAAAGTAAAATGCAAAATAATTTCAATTAGACAATATCATTACACTGATTTTTTTTGTATGAACTTGACAACAAAATAATTTCATTTATTTATTTTTAGGTCACTTTTGAGGGTAGAACTCTTAAAGTTACAAAAGTATAGCCAATGGATGGAGATAATCAGAAATTTTAATTATATCAATTGAGCCAATGAAAGAGAATGAGTAAGTTATATTGATAAAGGGAATGCTCATTATGGTCTCTTAGGAGTTCTATCACCACTTTTCAAGGGAACATTGGCTTTGCTGGGGTAAATTGCAATGGCATTAAGAATTCAATCACTGGATTCACAAGATCAGCTAAGGAAGAAGTCACAGTGGCTTCTTTTCCCCACCCCATGCATGCCAGTAGTGTGCCATCTCATGCCTATGATTATCCATGCCAGGCCCTGGTTACTGGGTCATCCAAACCCTAAGAGGGTGGAGGGGGGGGGCTGTTTCCAAACCACTTCAGACCCCTAGAATAAGCCATGATTAGCAGGGTGGCTTGGAAGCCATTCCCACCACCCTCCTTGCTGAATTAAGACAACATGACTTGTACATGGCATGGGCATTTATGGAAATGAGGTGGTGCATGACCAGCATAGAAAAGGTGGGGAATTGTGCTAACTTAACTAACAACCCTATTTACATAACATATCAACCCATCTTGAGTAGCTAGCATGGGAGGTTGTTGTGTCTGCCAAAACTAGCAGCTTTTCTAGCTGTTATGTTTCAGTAACAGCTCATTAAACAATGGCTTTTTCTAGAAGCTGTTTGATCTATAATGAGTTGTTGAACCTGGGGAAACAATTTCATCATGGCTTCCAGGGAGCTGCTAGTAAGCCATGCTGCAAGAGTGGTGAAAACCTCTGCTGCTCACTGTGCCACTGCTGGTGACAGCCCCTCCAGTGATTCTCAAGCAGCATTTGAGTGATTGTCACTGCTCATTATTTATTTAACTCTTTCAATCCAGAAAATTGTGGAAATGGTGTTGCAGTTCTGGTTCCCTGACAGTTCTAACTCCCCTCACCACCAACCCCATTTACATTTACAAAACTATCAGGGAAACATAGTAACTATAGTAGTAAATGTTCAAACAAGGAACTGTGAAAAGGTGGGGAGTGGGGTTTTTTTCCTTACACTGCTAAATGGATAATACTGCCCTCCATTTTGTTTATCTACTTTCACCACTTTTTTCCCTTTACTAGTTCATTTAACTGACAACTAGTCAATTGCTCTCACACAATTGTGCATAAATTAACCAATATACCATCTCACCTTGTCAATTTCAATACAGGCTACCATTCCCAGTTCCATTTGACTGCTAAAAAGTCAAGGAAATTGACCAAGCAAGACCACACATATTGGACAACTGTATGAGTGCACTTGTGAAAGACAAAATAATTGTTGAATATTATGAACACATTTGTGCAATTTTCTTGGGTTGGAAAAAAAACCTGCCCAATCACATATATTTGAAGTTCCACATTTTGGGATTTAAGTGGTGAATGAAAAAAGGAAGTGATTGTGACAAAGAGGAGGAAAAAGGATAAAGTGAACAAAGCCACACTGGCCTGGATTGTCACTTAGGTGCACCATGGGTTGTTCCATGAACAATCCATGCTGAATAATTTACCTGCAGTGTGGCTTAGCATGTTATGCAAACCTGTCCAAAGCACAGACCAATTGAACTAGGGTGGGTTAACCTGTGTAATAAATTATTAAAATGAAAACAACTGTTAGTAACACCTACCACATGGTCAACAATTCATGTTTTGTGAATGGGATTCCTGGCTGGCTAGTTACCCCTGCTGCAATAAACAACCCAGGGCCTATGGGAATGGGGTGGTATATAGATTGTCATATAGTTTTAGCAATGGACTCATAATCTGGTTTGTTTGTTCCCCAACAAGCTAGAGCTCCCTATTCAGATATCATGATAAATAACCCAGGAATTAAATGTCCCAGGGTTGTTTATCACAGCAACACACTACTCATCTTCTCAACAAGCCACCATGTGTTAACCATGGTTGCATGAAGCAGGTCTATGCCTCCTTTAGCTGTTATCTGTGTGGAAAAGTCCCTAATATAGCCTCTTGTGGAAAAGACTTTAGATGCCATTTGTAAAAAGAGTAATCTGTTTCAGAACAGAAATGAATTGAATGAAAGTTAACAGGAAGAAAAATGGCATGGAAAAGGGGTTCTAAAATCTAGAATATAACAGCTTCTATTAGGAATAATTTCTCATAATACAAATTAAACTGCTCATTAATGCTTTACAGTGCAATTCAATCCATGTCTTTTCAGAAGTGGGTCCTTTAGAGATTGCTGGAATTTATTCCCAGATAAGTATGTATAGAACTGTAGCCTTAGTGAGTTAGGATTTTTTAAGAATAAGTAAAATCAAAGAACATTTTTAACACAAGAAAGAACTAAAAAGATTGTCTAGTTCAGGGTGGGGGACAGCTACAAATATGTTGTAATCTAAGAGAAATTTATGAAAGTATGAATTACATGGAAAGTGTTAATAGAGATAAATACTGTTCTCTCAAAAGCATGGTACTCAAGGTCATTCAACAAACTCACTTGGAATAGGTTTAGTAAGAACAGACTAAAATTAGCAGCTTTTCACATAATTAACTTATGAAATGCATTACAGAATAGTAACTAATAGTATGTGTAAATCATATATTAGTCTGTCTTTATTATCCAGGTTGCTCAGTTCATTCCATTATTTCACATTCCAGCATCAGCAGCCATTAGCAGATTCCCAGGAAGCCTTTATATCAAGTCAGACCTTTTGCTCACTGACTGGCAACAACTCACCAAGGTTTCAGATAGGGGTCTTTCCTAACTTTACCTGGATATGCTAGGAATTGAACTTGGAAATTTTTGTATCTGCTACACCACTGAAATCCATGTGACTGCAGCATATAAACATTACTCATACAAAACAGGCCAAAATCCAGTTTACCAACAGAAGAAATATTGCTGTGTTAGGAGAGATCCATGACCTTTTCCCATTGTGCAACCACAAGTAGACCACTTTAGAAACTGAAGACCTGCCACTTTCTCTGCAAGTGGAGCTTCTGTTGAATTCTCTCTTTGCATATACAGTAGATTCTGTAGAAACTAGTTTGTATTAACATTTATATTAACAGAATAATACTGCTAGAGACAACCTGTGGAGCCAACCTGAGTGAAGCATTTAAGAACTATTATACTGCACCATTAACAAGACATATTTTCACTAACGTTTAAAACAGAACAGTTAGATCCTCCATGAATGTGTTTATTAAGGACTAGTACTAATACATGAATCAAACTGTATTCAGAAACAATACACTTCAGAAAGAAGAAACAATGCATGGCCACCAACATTATAGTTTGCTTCTAAACTTCTGAATGGACTAAAGACCTTGCATGGAGCTGGTTACTGCTAGTGACAGGATGCTGGATTAGGTGGGCTTTGTCCTGTTCCAGCAAGAAAACCTTAGGCTAAGGAATTTTCTCTTTCAAGTACCCCAGTATGAAACACAGTTTTACACAAGTCTGCTAATTATAAATACTTCAGGAATACCTTCCTCCTTTATCTATCAATGATCTGTTCAATTAAAGTTGATCTTTGCTCTATTAAAGACTTTTCAAACGCTGTGCTCTCTGGATATGGAAATATATTCATATGTTCAACTTCATCCCCCATCGGTTGCAGCCAGCATAGCCAATAGGCAAGAATGCTGGGAGCTGCAGTCTAAAATACCTGGAGGGCATGGGAGTGGAAAAGGCTGTTTTACACATTAGTCAAAAGCTATTCAAGCTAGAACTTAAATTTGCATTACAGCAAACAAAGAGGGGTTAGGAAAGCTTTCCCCTCACATGTTTTTTAGAAGAAATGATAAGGATTTGCACTGACAGTTCCTGTACATCACTCCCACAGTCAACAATGCAGCCTCAAGCCCAACTCCTTCAGGATGTCACACTGCAGTCAGCTCAGCGTTCTTTCTCATTGTTTCTGCATACTGCGTGCCCATGTCACCCGCATCGCCCCGACCGCAACTCCACAAAGCAATTTCCCCTCAACTCTTCCTATACATCATACTTTCCCTTACCAGGTGTCCAGCAGTCACCCTCCACAAGCGACTCATTTTCAGCAAGGCACCCTCATGCACCCTTCCATCGACTCACCTAACGCTGCCTGCCGGAGCCTTCTCCTTTCTGCCTTCTGCCAACTCACTCACAGACATGACTCCTTCCTCCCTCTCCCTTCCCTTCCCCCCACCCTGGCCCCGATACCCCGCTTCACCCCCCTTTTCCATATGATTGAAACGGTCTCTCAGCCTCCTGAGCTTATTCCGGGTTTTCGCGCGCCTCACCCGTGATGGCGATGAATTGCTGGATTAACCCCTTCAACGCTGAGGCGGCAGCGGAGCCCCCGGGCGCCGCCATCTTGCCGCCTCTATCACCGAACAACAACACCCGCCACCTGCCGGTCCCAGTGCGCAGGCGCACAACCACCGCGCCCCAATTCCCCCTGCTCGCTTCCAATTTCAATATCAAGCTTTATTGAGAGCCCGACGTGAAAGAGGCCGGGAAGGGAAGAGGAAGTAGCGTAAGTCATCCTTCCTTTCCACATGACATCAGGAATGTCAGTAGCGCCCTCTAGCTGTCGGAGGAGGTTCTCCTAAGTTTGGTACAGAGGGGTGGCTGTTCATCTTACCTTTTGGGACTCCCGTGAGAGAGGAACCTGTTGTAATGTACGTATCTCCCAGTTCTGACACCACCTGTGGAACCTGTCTCCAGAAAAGACTAGAAGAAGTACAGCGGCATTGTTTGCCTCCCACAACTGGGAGATGTTCTTGAAAGCATTGCTCCATGGCGCCCATTAGGACCGTACAGGGTAGTAGGAATATAGGGAACTGCGTTATACTGAGTAGGACTACAGATCCATCCATCTCAGTATTGTGAATACCGATTGGCAGTGGCTCGCCAGACTTTCAAGCAGTGTTGCCAGTCCTACTAGGAGATGCAGGTAATGGAACCTGGCAGCCTCTCTGAGCTGTGGCTGCTTCTGGCAGATGGAAGCACCACCACCCCTGCTTCTATCAAGAAAGCTAATACATCAGGCCTTGCTTCTAACGTTATAGGACTAAAATGCAATGTCTACATGCATGAACATTGGACAACATTACAGGGAGGGAGGATGGATCCCAAATGGAACAAGCTAGGCGTAGTCACCATGGTGCTCTCCAGAGGTTTTAAACAACTCCCATAAGCCTCAGCAACCATGGCCAATAGAGATAAAAAGACTGATAAAACGTTTGCTAAAACCATGTTGCCTATCCCAGAATGATATATACTTAGAGTAATTTAGTATGGAACTTTCAAGTGTAGGAATCCTGTTAAGTAGATCAGTATTATTATCTATATGTTGCAGCTGAGGGAACTGAGGCTGATGAAAAGTGACTTACCTAAGATTTGAAAACTGGTTTTCCTAATTTTAGCTCAATCTCTTTAGCACACTGCACACAGTTTTCTTCTCTCTCCCCTTCCCTGCATTGCTCTTTAGAAAACGCCAATTGTATTTAGGGCTGCTGGCTTTCCTCCTAGCTGGATAATTTATCTGCCTCTTCACTATTATGCGACACACATACACGTGCACATTTTACTCTGGTTTTACTGCCCTGCTGAGAAAGAAGCACCAGTAGAATATCTGCCTCTCATAACAATTTACAACGCAGCTTCACAGAGCAAAAAGACTACAACTATCATTTGTCATAGCAGTTTACAATAAAATAGATATAATACAAATGGGAAATGTTCAGTACAACACGACAGCACCTTCCCAGCAAATAAACTAAGTATTCTATTTCTCTGTAATTAATTTTGAGAAAGACATAAAAATTATAAAAAACCCAAAGTTAGACTGGACAACCCTATTATGTTAGGAAAACCTCTCCAGGGAGCGCATTCCATAATCTGGGCGCCTCCGCAGAGAAGGCCCTACTTCAAGTAGATGCCTTGTTTACCTCCTTCAGGGAGGGTTCTTGGAGCAGGGCCTCCCTCACTGATTGTGAGGGGTGTGAGGGCATATATGGATATAAGCCACATCTGCTGTTCCCAGCTCTCATGGTGATAAGCTCCGTTTGTTTACTTTTCTGCATTCCAATGCTGTACCATCCTAATTAGCAAGCGGCTAGCCGGAGGGCCTGAGTATCCAAAGGTGAGGCCATAGTTAAGGTAGGAATCAAAGGGCAATTGTGTTACACCATGTATCTCCTCAGTATACAATAGTCTTCCGGCAACTTTCCTCTACAGTCCCCTCCATTTGTGCCATAAATTATGCTGTTTTGGTCCTAATTTCAGATATCCCACTTGTTCTCCAATCGGAATCGTAACCTTTTCTGCTTCCACTGCAGATTTCAGCTTATTAATATTTTTCATTTCCTCCCTAATGCTCTTCCAGTATTGTTCCTTTTCCTTCAATACCCCAAACAAGTTCATATTGTGTTCAATGTGAACATTGAAGTCATCTGGAAACCCTAAATTCATTTTGTCTCCAATATTCATGTGGGGCTATTCCTTATAGCCATTAGAACTTGTGGCAATTCTCCTGTCCAATCTTTCCCATTTTCCTTATATAATTTCCTCAACATATTTGGATTGTACCATGCCCACGTGGTTATTCTTACTCCATGAACTCCCATCTGTGAAGTACATGTTGTCACTGTCTTTATTAATGTCCTGATATTGTAAGTACTTCATCTTTTTCTTTTCACACAGGTTGTTACACACACGTGTATATCTGGAATCTTGTAGAATCCCCACCATTACATGTCTGGGTTCTTAATTGTTTGGAAATCTATTCCCTTCTGATTCAGCCACACTGTCCATTGTGCTAATTTTACAAAACTTACTGTGCGCAAATTCCCTGTCAGAATGTATTTTAACACTCCATGCGACAACTGTATCACCACTTTACTTAATCCTATCCAGTATTTCCACTCATATAAAGCCCACATGGTTGTTACAGTGGCTTTTTCACAATCATCGTTTTCTTCTTCTACAGATGTTAAATTCCTACTTGCATAGGCTATTGGTCTCAATTTACCTTCCTCATCCTTTTGATATAACCTCGCTGCTATAGTTTGATTTGTCCATTGAGAACAAATATAAAATAGCTCCCCTTTGCTTAGGCTGCCATAATTTTATAGCTCTCTGAATCCAGTTTTAACTGTTCCAAATTATTTTGATGTTCTTCGGTATGCTGCCACTGGTTTAACCTTTTTTAGCTTTTATTATGGCACGACTAGGTCTTGTCCCTAATGGAGAACCATCTGGGTTCTCTGGTCAAGTATAGAAATATATATTTGAGAAATATAGCCAAATACTTCTTGGAAAACAAACACCAGCACTTTAAGATCGTATTTTCCACCAAAGAACAAGAGTGCAGATACAGAATATAGTTCTATTAAGGAATAACAGGAAAAGCAAATGTCTATATTGTTGTTGTCACAAAGTCGTGCCCGACCCATCACAAACCCATGGACAACATTCCTCCAGGCCTTCCTGTTCTCCACCATCCCCCGGAGTCCACTTAAGCTCATGCCAACTGTTACAGTGACTCCATCTAGCCACCTCATTCTCTGCCATCCCCTTCTTCTTTTCCCATCAATTGTTCCCAGCATTAGGCTCTTCTCCAGGGAGTCCTTCCTTCTCATTAGGTGGCCAAAGTATTTGAGTTGCATCTTCACTATCTGGCTTTCTAAAGAGCAGTCAGGGTTGACCTCCTCTAGGATGGACTGGTTTGATCACCTTGCAGTCCAAGGCACTCACAGGAGTCTTCTCATGGACAGTGCCAAAAGGCAAAAAAAAAAAAAAAAAAAGTCTATATACAAATGCACTATAGTTTGGGATAGGTTTTTATAACCCAACTCTGGGTTATAAAAACTTTATCTCAGAATTGTTTTGAGAGCTTCTTCATGATGCTGTTGATGCTATGGACCTTCCAGAAACAGGTATAATTAAACAGGTATATTTAATCTCAAGTCTACAATAGCTGAGCAGGGCTGTCAAGGACAGGGCATTCTGGAGGGGATTTCTTGACAAGGTTGTCCTAAGTCAGAGGCAATTGAATAGCACATAACTACCACAACAGCAAACATTTCATCTCACATCATGTGGCACTGGAACTACCCACAAGTAGATTTCATTCAAATATTCACACTGTCTTTGGAGCCAGTGGGTTGCATGAGAGCTAATTTAGGCATATCACAGTGAAGGAGTTAAATGCTTATACAGCTAACAAGTACCAATTTGTTTTTGTATCACTTTTTTGCCACAATGAAAGTATTTTACGCCTTCACAATTTTGAGTATCTTGTGTATATCAAATGACAATGCCAAATTAAATTCATTTGAACTCCACATTGTAAGGCAACAAAACATGGAAATGTGTGTGATACTTTTGCAAGGCATTGTAGTTATAAAAGATGTCCAAGTGATGTACAGGATTCACCTTATATTTATGCACCACTACAGTATAACATTATCATATATACTAATTAATATGCAAAGGGTATGGGTATGAGTCTTTCTAGAACAATTTTATTTTTAGGCCACAGTTTTTGCCTAGCAAGATTAGGCGCTATAGGGCTTGTATCCGATCATTTGAAGAATTGAATGAAAAATTCAGGCATGCAATTGAGAAATGTGTATCTTGAAAAAATGCTTACTATAATTTTTGATAGTTCTTGTGGTTGGTGTTTAGAATTGTTCTCCCACATAATCTGTATTGTTATCCACTCTAGCATGGACATTGGCTGGAATCCAAAGGATGATGTGGGGAATGATAGGTGAGTTTCCCACACTGCTCCACAACTTGATTCTGGAGAGGTCTATGAGTAGTTAAACTGACCACGTTATTCAAATTCACAAGTTTTGGCAGAAGCACGCTGGTTAATAGACCAACCAAACATTATTAACTGGAGGGAGCAGAAATTCAGTTGTTAATTTCACAATACAAAACAACTGAATATAAATACAGAACAATCAATGGAAACTGGATTAGTGTTAAACTGGATTAAATTTATTCCCAGAGTAAAATCCTATTGCCCTTGTGGCAGATACACACATATAAACTTCTTAATTCAGAAGTATGAGCATCCAATAGGACTGAGGAATATGCCACTGCCACACCTTGCATTTTCTCTGGACAGCAATTTCCAGTACCTAGATTTAGTACTTGGGAGGGAAGGATGCTGGGGCTTGATTGGATGTTGAGAGGTCACTGGATTGTGTCCTAAAGTAACTTTTCATGGGAAAACTCATTCCAATTAAGAATATACAAGTGTAGAAACTCAGCTTTTATTTCAGCAATGACTTTTTTTAGTAATGAAAAACTATTGAAAAGATATTAAAATGATAAAAGGACTATGCTCAAAAATATATTATATTTCCAATGTTCATGTTTTGAGTCTTGTTATACATGTAGCCAAAATGGCACAAGAATCAATAGGCTTGGGGGACCCCGAGGTTGACATAAGTAAAAATTACATGCACGCACACTAAGAAGAAACCTCGCAAAGTAGCCCAGTGAGGACCAAGCTGTCTACAGAACACAAAACAAAATGGACTATCCTGGAAGAGCAGGTGCTTTGCTTGAACAGTTAATAGAAAGGCTCCACATGGCAACATTTTGTTTGTTGCAGGATCCATTTGCAAAGTAAGAAGTAAATGAGGCAAAGATTAAAAATGTTAGACATAGTATCATAAAAATATTTATGAATTGGTTTTTTTACTCTAAATCTTTTAAAAAATTTTTTATAAACTACACCAAAGCAGATAATCTGGATAAATGCAATATGGGACATGTTGGCATTGTTCTAAGCAAAAAGTAGACTTTATTTGGTGGCATTGCTGTGTAATATTTAAATATTCCAGAAGAGGGGAGTTTTTTGTGAATGAACCCTTCAAATACAAATTATTTCCCTGCAAATTGACATGAACATCTGATTAATATACCAGTTTCAGCAAAGCCTGCAAGAAAGCAGAAAACAATCAAGAGGCCTTCCTTAGAAGATTGAGAGGAAACATGAAGTAATTTTGATCTAGTTAAACTGACCTGTCAGGCTTAGTGAAGGCGTTCAAGCTGAAATTTTAATGTAATTGGAGCTAATGGATTGTTTGTATCAAACATTTTGCTCAAGAGAAAGCTGTTAAAAATATTACATTTTATATTATCTTATTCAATAAGCATATAGGTGATTTTAACAGGAACATTTTTTCTATGAAGTTTATTATTGTAATAGTGAATCGTGTACAGCTAATGAAAATGAAACCAATATATAGGCTCCATCTTCCAGCTGTGTCTTCAAATATTATTTCAAAATGTATCAAATTAATTTCCCTAGAGAACTGCAGAAAAAAATCCATTCAAGATAGGCTGGTTCACTCGTAACAGCTTTTTTAATTGACTGTTCTAAACAAATGCAAAATGTCAAGAAACAGAAAAACCTATTGACTTGGAAACAGTTTGATCTATCCTTACAATAGTCCAAATAGATTTTAAGGGAGGTATGAAAGATGTCACTTATTGTGCAATCCAGCTCAGAGTATAATCAACATTGTGGCATGATCATATCAATTTCTCTAGTATGATGGTCCAATTCAACTCAAAATCATCTGTCAACTTCTCATTCATACTTCTGCTGAGATAAGAGGAGAGAACCAGAAGGGAAGTAACTGAGAGCAGCTTTGATGACACTTTCTAACAAAATCATGAGGTGGAGTACATGATGATTTTAAAGAAATCTTTTTTGACAATGAATGACCCAAGAATTAAGATACAATGAGAAATGAAAGTAGAGGCATTTAGCAGGCATTTTTGGTCGCCAATCAAAAAGGACATTAATACTGAAAGCAACTGATCCCTGAACAGATAAATGTTTAACTCAGTCAACTTTTCAAGAATGTCCATTCTTTAATTGCCAGTTTCTTCACAAGGATTGTTAATCCACTAGTTTCTAGCCGACCTCTTAAACATCTGTAGGATTGTTTTTTGCTTCTTTGGCATCGATTCTCCATCCTTTGGATCGGAGCTATTGAGGACACAGTTCAAAACATTCCCTCCTTTTACAGATGCCTTTGTTTGGAGTTTATTACTGGGTTTACAGTTCTCATTGTAGGACCCTCTGCGTAGTTTTTGTTGGTCTATTTCAGTCTGGTGGTTTGGTGGCTTCAAGTTCTCTGACAGTCTGCAACGTTTCCTAACAGCTGGCGATTCTTTTGCTGACTGAGATGTTGAAGGTCGCAAATGATATTCATCTGGAGAACCTTTTTTGCGATTTAGTGTTTTCTGCTCTTTGTCTATTTCCCTTTGTAACTTCAAAGCTAGACGTCTGTCTTCCTCTTCTTGCTTATACCTTTCATACAGTTGCTTCTCTAAACTTATTTGCTTTTCTAGATCATTCATCTCCTCTTCTTCAGTTTGTGAGAAAGTTCTCTTTTTATCAGACAAATATGAATCTGCTGCTTCTTCAGATGTTTGAGATACTTTGTCTGGGATCTCTTTAGCAATCAAAAAGCCACTGTGGGGGGCTATTCCTATGGCACTGCTGCTTGTTATTTTTACTGGGTCACAGGCTGTAATGCTGCTCTCCTGCTGGTTACCAGGTGTAACAGAAATAAGTGTTTCTGGAGGAGTACTAATTTTTGCATATTTTGTCAAATGAATGTTTCCTGTAAAATTGTCATTTTTATAGTCATAAGAAGTTGTAGTTTTATTTGAAAAAGAACACTCGGGCTCACAATCTTCCCTTTGTGTCATGTCAGAAAGCTCATCAGCTAGTTCATTTACCAGATATCTGGAGGAACATGACATATCCAGGGTGAGTAGGCTGGACTTAGTTGGAGTACATATATCTAAATGTGGAATGGATGGCTCTAAAGTAGAATCTTTGGTATTTTTCACCTCATTGTTTGTCTGTGGTGACAGTGTGGGCATTTCATCTCTTTCTTCTTCTCCCAAGGAAAAGCTATTTTTAGTATTGTTACTTTCCTGCAAAAATCAGAACACAAAATAGTCAAACAGAGTTTATTCTTCCTATGAGATTTTGTATTTATTTACATTTATTAGAATTATTACTGGATACATGGATCATGCAAATGTACAAGACCTTAAAAATTAGGTAGCACGCATATACAACCAGGAGTCAACATTTTCAAACATATGGGTTTAGAAGTTTGTTCTAGATGTTAGAATTTAATCAGGTAAGATTCCATACATAATACAAAAACATTAAAATTCTTAACTTCTTTTCTTTTATACTATATAGGAATCCAAATATGTTTATATTACCCTGGAAAACAAGTCAATGCTTTCTTCCTCTAAGTTTCCAAAGAGCAACTTTGTAGGCAAGACACTGCAGGTCTTTGGAGACAAATACCTTAAGAGGGACAAAAACACAGTTTTATACTCTGTGAAGAACTAAGACTTAGAATGTACATTTAAACAAGGCCTACATATTTCTTAACTATGTCTTTTATTTCTGAGTAGACTGTGAAATAAAATGCTTCAAGCCTCAACTTGGTTTATCTTGGACAACTGCAAATGTTGAATATGACAAAACAAATAAAATATAAGGTTAAATGTAGATTTAAGGTGACGGTCTTAGACACACTGATGTGATCGGTACCAGACTTAACAGTTCTTACTTCTAAGCAGCTACCCTTTCCCTATCTCTCAGTGCTGCCATGAAGAGAAAATTAGATGCTTTTGCTTCCATTTTTGACAAACCAGTTTATCATTTATTAAATCCAGACAAATTGTAATTACAGTGGTACCTTGGCTCATGAACGCCTCAGTTCATAACCAAATTGGGTCGTGAACAAAAATTTCATAAAAATTTTGACTCAGGTCACAAACTCTGCATTGGGTGGCAACCGTGATTGGGGCCATCTCCCCACCCACCCAAGTGGGAGATGGCCACGATCATGCTGGGGGTGGGGGAGGAGATGGCCGGGGTGGGGGAGGAGATGGCTGATGGCCCGTCTTTCCTGCAGGAGTGTGCCTGTGATTGCACCCATCTTTCCTGCAGGAGGACAACCCACGATCTTGGCCATCTCCCCCACCCCCAGCACGATCATGCCCATCTGTCCTCCCCCAGCGCGCCCATGTTTGTGCCCATCTCTCCCCCCAGCACGCCCACAATTGCACCCCTCTCCCCCAAGTGCCCACGATCACACCCCTCTCTCCTCCCCAGCATGCTGGGATAATGGGTGAGTGCAGGATGACGGGTGCAATTGCGGTTGTGCTGGGAGATGGCTGCGCTCGTGCTCGGGGTGGGGTGGGGTGGGGGGAGATGGCTGCGATCTTTGTTGTTGTCACTTTGAATCACATTTTTCTGATTAAAAAAATAGTTACAGAATGGATTAACCTTAATTACACTGAACCTTATGGGGAAATTTAACTTGGCTCACAACCAATTTGGGTCATGACCAGAGTCCTGGAATGGATTAAGTTCTTGAGCCAAGGTACTACTGTAGTCTGATGTAATTTAGGGTTCAGATGCAAAGCTAAACTGCAATCAAAAAGCAAAGTAAAAGTTCCTAATCTCTCCCTTGTAGCTATACTCACGAGTAGAGGGTGCATTGATGAGAACAAGGCTTGCATGTGTTTGTTAGATTTACATCCCATCTTTTTTTCCTTTCAAGGAACTTCAAGTCAGCTTACAGAGTTCTCCTCTCAAACTTATCCTCACAACAACCCTGGGCAAAGAGTCTGTGATTTGCCCAAAGTCACCCAGGTGAATGGGGCCTAGAATCCAGATTTCCTGAGTCCCACTCTATATGTAACGCTAAACCTAGGATGATGAGCATAGATTGGTCCAGAGACCAGACTGCCACCCCCACACCAAGACAGCAGGCACATGGTATTAATGGACAAGCTTCTGTCCAAAATTCTTGCCCCTCCAAATATGTCATGCATGCCCCTGATTTAGTTTCCCTTCTCTGCACAAATGGACTTGGCAGGTGTTCATTGGGAAAGAATTTAGGAAGTGCACTGACTTCTTTGTGCACTGACCACAACCAAAGGAATTGGCAAGCAACTGTGGGGCCAACTACAGCAATTGCCTGCCAAGTCAATTTCCTTTGTGCACTGCTCACACTCTAATTGGGATAAGAATGAAATGCAAAGGAGGGATTCACTTTGCTATCTCCAATTTCATAGAATCATGGAATAGTGGGATCAGAAAGGGCCAAGAAGGATGCCAGTTACACCACTCAGATAACTGTCTATCTTCTTCTTGAATGTCTCTAGTGTGGAAGAGCACACAACTTCTCTTGGCAACTGGTTCTACTGTCGTATTGCTCTTACAGTTAGGAAATTCATCCTAGCGTCTTGCTCTGAATCCTCTCCAGATTATCAGCATCCTTCTTTAACCTGGGTACCCAAAACTGAACACTGTATTCCAGGTGAGGTCTGACTAATGCAGAGTAGAGGGGAATGAGCACTTCTTCTTCTGTAAGTGTTACTTCTATTTATGTAACTCAAAACAGAGTTTGTCTTTTTTGCAGCTGCATCACACTGCTGGCTCAAAGCTTGTTGTCTACAAAAACTCAAAGGTCCCTTCCACTTTCAGTACTGTTGGGCCAAATGTTCCCCATCTTTTATCATTATTTCTTTTTGCCTAGGTAGAGAACTTGGCATTTGCCCTAATCAATTACATTCAGGTGTTTTTTGCCCAACATTCAAGCTTATCTATGTCCCCCTGGATCTTCTTTTTGTCTTCCAGGTTGTTAGCTATTCCACCTAGTTTAGTATCATCCGCAAATGTTCTGCTACTGTTGATGATCACTCCCTGTGATCTATTTTGAATCCAGTTGTGGATCTGCCTAATAATAGTTCTCTCAAGCCTACATTTTGCTAATTTATTTATTAGGTGGTCGGGGGGGGTACTTTGTTAAAAACTTTGCTAAAATCTAAGTAAATCATGCCCACTGCATTTCCTCTGTCCATCTGGGTGGTGACCCAGTCAAAGAATGAGATTAGGTTGGTTTGGCAGGACTAATTTTTAAGAAATCTGTGTTGACTTCTGTTTATCCCTACATTTTCTTCAAGCTACACACAGACTGTTTTTAATTATTTCCTCCAGTAATTTCCCAGGGACTGCAGTTAGACTGACTGATCTGTAGTTCCCCAGTTCATCTTTCTTCCTTTTCTTGTAGATGGGGACATCAGCTCCTCTCCAGTCATTTGGCACTTCCCCTGTTCTCAAAGATTTCTCAATTATATGTACTGGCTCAGAAAGCTCTCGTGCCAGTTCCATTAATATGCTAGGATGGAGCCCCATCAGGTCCTGGAGATTTGAATGAATCTAGTTCTTCAAGGTGCTCCATGACCATTTGTCTGTTGATCTGTCATCCTTCCCTTTCACTTTGTATTTTCTCCTCTGTAGGCAGGTCACATTTTCTTTTGTGGGAAGAGACTGAGCTGAAGAAGGAGTTGAGCTCCTCTACCTTTTCCTTGTCATGTTATCTTTTTGTCATCCTTTATTTATTTAAAAAAATTGTAGGCCATCCATTACTGTTGTCTCTGGACGGCTTACAACTTTATTTCAATCTTCAATAAAATAAGTTAACTTTCACACTGAGCATTATTTAAAATAAATTAAATAAATCTTACACAATTAAAATTACTATATATTAAAATACTGGCCTTAAAAAAACATATAAGGATGGCGCCAGGTGGACCTCTCTAGGGAGCGCATTCCAAAATCGGGGCGCCACCTCAGAGAAGGCCCTCCTCCGAATACTCTGTCCCCTGACCTCTTTCAAAGAGGGTTCTCGGAGGAGGGCCTCTGCTGCCGATCTTAGGGGGTGAGAGGGCATGTAGGGATGAGCTGCTGTATGTAACTCTCTTTTGTTTGTCTTTTATTTTGAGCATAGCTATAGAGGACTTTCTTATTATTTTTAGTGTGCCTTGTGAGTCTCAGTTCATAACTCGCTTTAGCCTTCCTGATTCCATCCCTATAAGTCTTTGCTGTTGATACTCCTCCTTTGAGGCTTCACCTCCTTTATACTTCCTGTACATGTTCTTCTTAGCATTTGTCTCCTAACTTTTTGCAGAGCCATGAAGGGTTTTTTTGTAGTTTTCTATTCTTTTTCTTTATTGTGATTAGTTGCTGTGCTTTATGTATTTCTTTCCTTTTTTTAAGATTTCCCATCCCTCTTGGACTCCTCTGTACTTTAGGGTGAGTTGCCAAAGGATTTTACTTATCACTGCCTTGAATTTCTTAAAATTGGCCCTTCTGAAGTCAAGGATGCATGTTTGACTGCAGCAGCTACCTGCCATCCTCTTAATGGAGAATTCGGGAATGGTAGGGTCACTTTCCTCCAAGGAACCAGTGGTTGTTAATCTATCTCCACATCTTCTTTGTTGGTTAATATTAAGTCTAGTGTAGATATTTCCCTCATTCTTTCCTCCACTTTCTGTTGGAACTAGTTGTAGACTACACATGTGAGGAATCTCTTGGAGGGGCTATGTTTGACAGAATGTGTCTCCCAGAAAATAGCAGAGAAATTGCAATCACCCATGATTACCAAGTTTTGGCTTGTTGCCACACTGGCTACTTGTTTTTTGTCTTTGTCTTCTCTTAAATTTGGTGGGCTGTAGTAGATAAGAAATACAGTGCTTCCCCTGTGTATCACTTAAAGGGATTTTTCTTCCTACTTCCTTCTCAAGCCTCTGATGGTCACAAGGTCAGGGAGCTAGGCCTTGGGGAAGGGACCATGGCCAGTCCTCCACCATCTGGATAAAGAACCTTTCCAATGCACTTAGCATTACATCTGAACCAGGCCAATTTTTCCAAAACCTAAGGCAGCAGTAGCCCTGCTCAGGGGTTCATCCTGATAAAATCATTCAAGAGTTTTTTATGTTAGCACAAAACCCCCAAAGCTTTCATTTATGATTTCCAAACAAAGTACACTCTGAAGATGATAAACTCATTAGTGCTGGGATAAGTTTTTGAAAAGAAAAATTGTCGAAATAAATACATATTGCAAAACTTCTATCAGATTGGGAAACCATTCCCCCTGAACAGCATATTCAGTGTTGCACATTGTATTAATAAATCTTGAGTTGGGATCAATGGATTTTACTTACTTTTTAATGTCTCCAGAATTATTCGATTTGTTTTTTGATGTTTTACCAGAATCAGAAGGGGTTAGGGCAGGTGACAGATTGCTGTTTATGTTCTCCTCAGTAGAGCTGTTCTTCAGTGTCACCAAAAAAAAAGAAGCAAGCATGACTTTATTTCATTGATTAAGTGGCACTGAATTAACGGGTATCTCACCACAGAACTAAACTACCCAAGTGATTTAGCTAATTATTATTCAGGTATGATATATCCATACCATCTCCAGTACTAAGCATTTGTTAGTATTATGCATCACTCCCCAAAGTTTGAAACAAAATGTTATGATGATACAACCTCATCAAGAGGAAATAGATTCTAATCTTTACCTAATTTAATACAAGTGCCATTTTAACCAGACACACTTTTAGGTTAAATAAAATTCATAACAGCTATTAAATTCTTAGTTGTAAGCAATAATGTTAAAGAAAAGCACTCACATGGTATCCACAAATTTCCCCCCAAATTTATGGGCAGTAATTTATTGTAGTAATGCTAGAAATGCATATGCTACAATAATTTCAGAAGCTAGAACTCTGCCACAGAACAAGCTTAAGCTTTATTTTTAAATGCTTTCTATGTATTCCATTTTAACCAAACTTATTTTAAATGTAATAATTTGTTCAAATAATGTAAAAGGTATTGGTTCTGAATATAAGGAAAAAAGGATGCACTGAGAAGGTAGACCATGAAGGTAGACTACATTTCAATCACTAATTTTCAATATGTTAAAGCAATATCCCCATTATAGTGTTTTCCATTTGTGTTGGACTGCAGCCTTCTTAGTTCCTACCTAGCATGGACACTGGAAATACTGGTTGGGTGTTATGGCAGTTGCAGTCCAACACATCTGGACTGCACCATGTTGAGGAAATGTACCATATGTGCCCTACTGTTGTTTATACAACAGATATAACTTCTTTACATTGTAAGTAACATTGAGAAAGCATCTGATTATTTATACAATAGTTCTCAAATATCATTTTCAATGTTTCAAAGCATCATTTCAAAAAATGATTGATGAATGCAAGTTAAAAGACTATTTAAGTCTCACCTTGATCAAACTTACCAGACTGAAACTCAGTTCCCGTGCTAACATTTCATCTCGCAATAATTGTTCTTCCATCTGCCTTTTCCTCTCTTCTTCCTTCTTCTGCTGTTCTTCCTCTTCTGCTAGCAGTCTTTGAATATATTCTTCACTAGCTTTACTCTCTTCTTGTTCATGAGCACGTCGTTCTGCTTCTGCCTAATCAAGAATTCATCTTTTTAACTTTCTTGCCACATTATGGATTGTATACTTCAGCCCTTTACTGTAAAAGATGTGTTTCCTGGAGAGGAGTCCATATATTTTGGCATGGTCTACTAGCCAACTATTTTGTAGCAACCAGTAACCCTTGCTTTTCCTAGACCCATAGTTGATTGTAAGTATTTGTGCTCCCTTGGAAAAGTATTCATGTCCCCCACTCAACTTTCTAGATTTACCTTGGTTATCTCAGCCTCATATTCCTGTCTTAATTCTCCAGGCTTACTTAAGCGGTGTAGTGGTCTAGATATGCTTGCTATTCCAGAAAAAAAGAGATGGGAGAAAATAGTTATTATGAGGCAATTATGTTAAGATTGCAGTATTCATCTGAAAAGATATCAAGTTGTAATTCAATTTAATTAATATGTGACAGAATATTCTTAATGCTATGGTTAACCATTTTAAGTTGTTTCTTACTTTGCTAATATTGTAGGATTAAAGTAAAATGTCAATATAATCAAGGAAAAGGTTCTTTTTAATGCAATTCCTTGTTTCACCTTTAGATAGGATTTTCACTTTTTGATTTGACATCTCCAGTAATGAAACATTATTTGGACAGGATCCAAAAATGATACAACCACCTCTTTGAAATCTAAAGGACTTTACCTGCTATTAATACAGGAAAGATTAAAAAAGAATCGTGACATGGCATGAATGTCAAATGTTCAAAGTGAAAAGAATCATTTTTTAATCCATTGGGCTAGTGAAAGCCTTGTATATAAACTATTTCTGACCCTTTGGTTTTCTAATATCTTCAGCAAAGAATAAGCAGAGTATTTCAACTCTTAATGACTTAAATCTAACATTGCTCTAATGGAAACGTACTAGCACAAAAGCACTTTCTTCATGCTCTCCCTGCAAAACCCTGTGCCGCCTGAAAATCTGCTCTGAAGCAGATTCAGAGACAATGTGGGATGAGTAATCCCTCCCCTCCCAGTTCCACAGATGGAACTGGAACTGTTTCCATCAGTGGAACACCACAATTAATTCAATGATTAGTGTGCTTGAACTCTTATATTCCTTTGCAACTAAGCAAAAGGACAAATTACTATTCTTGTTCAAGACATAAAAGGACTGTAGCTTAAATAATTTTTCATTATTTTATTTTAAATCACACTGTTTTCTTTAGAAAAAGACAACAATTCAGGAGGAAAATGACAAAGGAAAAATGAATCCACAGCTGAACATCAGGAAAAACAAAAACGTAAAGGTCTCACTTTCAGGAATTGTTGCTGTTATACATTTTATTACTGTAATTTTGCAAATAATTCAGCATATTTGGTACCAACAAGTATTTATTTGATCACCTTTACTATTTGTAGCACATCAGTTGAAGTAAAAAATAAAAACCCTTTCTAAACCCTTTCCTCTTTGAACCTAGAAATTCATCCCTATTTAATCACTTAGAGCATGGGTCCTCAGACTATGGTCCGGGGGCCGGATCTGGCCCACCATGCCCATTTGGACCTGCTGCGTGCATGCCCACATGCGAGCCCGCTGCCACCCACCTCGCCCCACATGTGGGGAGGCAGCGGTTTGCTCGGAGGCAAGCTGCTGCCTTGTGCCCCCACCTGCCCCCCCCTTGCTGGACGCGTGTGCCTGCTCCTCCCCTCCCCTCACTTGCCCGCCCACGCCTCACCTCACTTTGCCTCACCATGCACCCTGCCCCCGCAATGGCCCACGCCACCTACACCACCTTTCTGGCCCATGCCCAGCACCTTTCAACTGGCCCCCTGGTGGAAAAGTTTGAGGACCCCTGCCTTAGAGGACATTCTTATTTATCAAAGACCATCTGATGGGTGCTGAATACAGGAATAGAGCATATTTGCTTTTTCTCCCTAGAACATTATACAAATGTTCTAAACATCACTGGCATACTTATACATGTAATGTCGACAGAGATACTATTTTACTCACTATCTTCTTCTAGGTCCTGTCCATTAATTCTGCGTTGGCATTCTGCTGGGAAATGTTTTTTTATCTTTTCCCATAATTCCCAATTAACAAGAGTGTTCTTGCGGACGTTGTATCGTGCCCAAGAAGAAACACGGCGGCGACAGAAAGGACAGCACAGGCTGGCCTTTTCTACTGTAAGCTGGAAACATGAGTTGCAGAGTGTGTGGTGGCATGGTAATGTGACTGGTTCCAGAAAGATGTCCATGCAAATATTGCAACGATAGTCAGACAAGGAAAGGACAGCCCCTGATTCTTTTGACATGTTCAGTCCGAGAAGATGGCTAGTACATCTGCAACCATAACATATTGTTTGCTCAGAATCATCAAAAATGCAGTATGAAACATATGTCTATTGGATCAGCTCTTTGGCTCACTTTACTCACGCATTTTAAAGTGAGCCAGTTAAAAAATATGTTGTAGTAGCATGTACAATAAAACCTTTTCAGTTAGAAGCCAGAGAAAATAAGTACATTTTAGCGCTCTCTTTAAAAACTGATAGAGGGATCCAGCTGTATATCTCTTGGAAGAGTGTTCCATAGTCACCACAGGCAAGGTCTTCTTCTCTAGCAGCTGTCAAACTTCTTTATCTTAGTGATTGGTCAGTGAAGACCACCTTCAAAAATGATACTTAAACATGGGCAAGTTCATACAGGTGTATGTGATTCTTCAAGTAACCTGGATCCAAACCTTATACAACTTTAAAGGTCAACATCCACACTTTGAATTTGGCCTGGAAATGCACTGGCAAACAGTGCCAGGGGGTCAGAATTGGTGTAATATAATCTGATCATCTAGTCCCAACAATGCTGATGACCGCATTTTGTACCAGCTAGTGTTTTCAAAGGCAGCACCACATACAATGGTCCAGTCTGAGTATTACTAGTGCACACATAATTGAGGTGAGGTCTGCATTCCCTAAATGTAGTAGGCATACATACCTACTACTGCTACCTCTACTTCCAGTCAGTACTGAATCCAAACTAGCAAATGAATGGCAGGTTTATCATTCCTGTATAGAGTAGCCCTATTGACTATGAGCTGGATTCTATATACCTAACTCTTATTATTATTATAGACTATCCACTGTCAATCTCCAGGCTTTCAGTTTTATAGATCTGCTGAAGTCTATTGCCAAAAATAAGCAAGGGAGCACAAAGGTAGCAAACTGGAAGGGTGGACACCAATTTTTATGTCCAAAAAATATAACTGGGAATGGGCAGTTTGTATAGCAGTAGAGTTACAGAATGGGCAGAGCAGACCTATTTGGAGTTTGAAATGTTACCATAGCAGCAGAAAAGGAACTACATTTAATGGTAAAATCAATACATGTATGAATTTTTTAAAAATGTCTAAACAAGCATAAGATTGTGCTCTTAAATCAAGGAAGACTTTGTTTATGCCACAAAACGATTAACGCAAGATGGAAAACATAGTATAACAATACTTGTTTAATTTTATTATTTTATTAACTTTTCTTGTTAGGCTAGGCTACAAAGTATAAGAAATGCCACCAGGTTGCAAGTTACTGATCAGAAGTGGCCAGAAATACTTCTTGCCACCCAGTTCAAAGATACACAGTGGACTGGTTCACATGATGACATCCCACTGTGAGTTATTTAACCTATGGTGAAGCTGTGATACAAACACAGCTTATCAATTCCCACTTAACAGTGTGTCATGTGAACCCAAAGAGCATGGATTATGCAAAAGTTAAATAGTCCTCATATAATCACAGCACAGATCATACTTGATGAGTTTGTTGGATAGGTAATGTGGTGTCTGCAGGGGTTGAGAGCTAGTATGGTGTAGTGGTTAAGAGTGTGAGACCGGGACTCAGCCAATCTGGGTTCTAGTCCCTACTTGGCCACGGAGCTAACAGAGTGACTTTGGACCAATCACAGACTCTCAGCCCAACCTACCTCATAGGATTGTTGTTATGAGGATAAGACTGAGAACAGGAGAATGATCTAAGCAGTTTTGAGTTCTTTGTAAGTAAAAAGTGGGATATAAATCTAATAGAAGTATAAATCACAAGTTTAATTACCCAGCACCAAACCAGGTCAGAGGTAAATCTTTAACACACACACCTCTTAAGTCTCTATATATGGAATTCCTCAGAACTGTCATTTATATGGAGTATAGCTTAGTGTTTAGATAACTTAGAAATGTAATTCCATAAAGAAATCTAGTTTGAAAAGCATTTGGCCTTACCTCCCTACATGTAAGGCAGCCTATCAGTTTAGTTACTGAAACAAACAGAACACCCTTAGACATAGTATATTGTTGACATACCAATTAAATGTTCCAATTAGCAGCATGTTCTGGATAAAAATTGTGTATGGAGGCTGGTGAAACTAACATAGCATAACCCGTTTATCTAAAACCTTAAACTCACCTGCATTCAATCACCCCAAATTTCTGTTCCTGGACTTTTTACATTATTTTTACACATCTAAGGAGTATGCCAGTTCGCTTGTGTGTGGGTCTGCGTGCATGCTCAGGAAGTAGTTTAGAAAAGTAGCATTCTTTGCGATCAATTTCTCTCCAAAAACAAGCGAAGAAACGGGGGGGGAGGGGGGGCAAGGGAAGAGGCCGACCGTTGTAGCAGTTGGCTCTGCTTCTTACATACTCCTTCGAGTGAAAAAGCCACCAAAGCCCTGTGACCTTTCCCGACAAGAATGAAGCTTCTCGACTTTCCAACCTCACAGCCCAAGAAAGCGGCAGGCCAGACAGCACACAAATATCCGTTTCAGGGGCCGCATTCGAATGGGAAAAGCGCAGCCCGGTTCTACATCATGAGACGGACGGAACCAGAGGATTGCCACGAGGTTTCCGTTATTGTGTAGTCCCCGCTCGCGACGTTGTTAGTGAGCACCAAATTCAGCACTCGGTTCCCTACCTTGCCCTGCCTGGCCCACTCCGAGGGGGATAAGGCGCGAAACGCCAATAGACCTGCCGACCTCCCCCTCCTCACGCGCGCAATAACTAACTACAACCAATCCCACAGCGCAGTACTGAGTAGCCACGCCTACTTCCGTCTCTGTGGCTCCGATCGCCCTTAAAGGCGTTCTGCTATAGGGTAGAAACGTTCGAGAATTGAAACGCATAGTGTTGCCTTTTCCAACCCGGCGCCCTCCCGCAACTGGGGTTGCTGGGAGTTGTAGTTTAATGCAGCTGGAGAGCACTAGATTGTAGGAAAGGCAGATAAAATGGTACAAGAAGTGGCGCTCGATGCAGATAATTTTAGTTACGACAATATACCCGTTGGCTGTTGTAATGGCACAGTATTGTATTTATTGGTGTTAATGGTTTGTAATATTACTACGTCTGCTTATTATTGAAAAGATAGTTCCAAATAGTAGCAATTGTACAGGATTGATTCCTTTCAGGCTTCCTTTATTTAGACGTGTGCGCTTCTGGGAAGATGCTCCCTATTTGCTAATTGTTTTATTATTTGTAATTTCTAATGTGCCTAAAATGAATGTTGAACCTGTTTCAGCCCTAGGGTCAAATCAAATTTAAAAGAAACTCTCAGAGCTTGAATTCCAGTGTGTATGGGATGGGATTTACATACCAACAAATTTTGCTTAAAAGCTCTTACTACCAGTGAGTCAGCCTTAGAAGCGGCATTTCAACCTTTAGAATGAGGAAAGAACACTCAAAAGCTGGGAAAGAGGGTCTGGCCGTTTGTCAAACCCTGGAGGATCATACTGGGATTCCAGGTTAACATCTGAACTTCCTTCGAGTGCTGCTGCTGAAAATATTCTTTCTTTTGTCAATCCCAAGCTTCCTGACTATAATGGAACACAGAGCAGGGCTTTGGATAATCATCAAAACTGATTGGTATGTTTACACAGAGAAGAAGATGATCCTTTAGTTATTGTGGCCCCAAGCAGTTTATTATAAGTAATACCAGCACCTTGAATTGGCTTTTTCTTAAAATCAGAACAGTACAGATGGCTTGGCATAATGTGTTCCAAATAACAGGAACAGAAAGTATTCCATTTTTCTCTAGTGTCAGTTTCTGGACATTCTTCAATGACAGCCCTATGTAGAACATATTACAAGAATCTAATATGGTTGTGATCAAGGCATGTATAATTATGCCAAATCCATCTTCAAGATGGGACATAACTTGGTGCACCAGCCAAAGCTGTGAAAAGGCATCCCTGTCTACAAGAGCTACTTGGATTTTCAGGTGAATTTGGTCCTACAGGGATTGCAATCTTACCCAGAACAGGACAAATCAGTTTCTCTGATGACCATTAGTACATATGTTCTTGTTGGGATAAATCTCAGGTTTAGCCCACATCCAAGCCATTCAAGACTGTCATGGACTCCTTAGTATTGACTAGAATGATATGGGATCTTATATACTAATGATCACTGAATCAAACTATAATCCTCCAACCACTGGAACACAGTTCCTCCTAAACAGACATTTCAGAAGGGTATCATTGTTGGCATTGCCAGTCACAGGGACATCCAGTGGAACCAACAGAGACACATTCACCCATTGATTCTGGTAAAGGTCATGTACCAAGGCCATTTCAGTCCCCCAACCAGGCCTGAACTCAAGAGTGGAAAGCTCAGAGCTCATTACCCACCACTCACTCTTAACATTTTGTTCAAAAAAGACTGGTCAATCATTACCCAAATTAATAGAACCAAGTGAGTACTGCCTTCTTCAGTATAGCAAGGATACAACCCTCCTCTAAGGAATATTTGCAATCTTCATCATCCACATCATTCATATTGTCATCACCCAAGGTGGACCTGGATCTAATGGTTGGCCTCAATCCTCCAAGCAATTTGTTCACATCTCAACCAAGCTGAAGAAGGAAAAGCAAAATCTTGTTTGCAGCCACCGATCTTGCTTTTAATATGGAGTCCAAGTCAGAATAAATATAAGTAACTTCATCAACAAAGTGCCCACAATCTGGCAACATGTGTTCCTTCCCACTGCCTTGGGGACTATGTTATAATCCCTTACCCTCAGAATAACTTTGCTGACTATGACTTTGCTCATGAAACAGTATTTATTTATTAGTTTTATATCCTGCCTTTTCTTCTTACAAAGAACTTAAAGCAGCTCAAGTCATTATCTTCCTTCTATTCTCATTCTTATCTTGACAACAACAAGCCTGTGAGGTAGGTTGGACTGAGAGTCTATGAGTGGCTCAAAGTCACCCAGCTGGCTCCATGGCTGAGCAGGGACTAGAACTCAGATTGCCTGACTCCCATGTTGCTAATCATTACACCACACTGGATCTCAGTGTAGTAGTAGAGCAATAATATTTCTTCTCCACCATCACTGCTATGGAAAACTCTAAAATGGGCTGTACCTATGTTCAGTTGCTTTTGCCTTGAGTTATCTTCTGCCTTCATTCTAGCTATCAAGTAGCTTAGGTGCTTCAAGCTACTTCGAAAAACAAGGAGTCCAGGTTCTACCAACTGGCAGTGATTCTTGTCAACCTGGCCCATTTGCTCATTCTAGAGATCAGCCAGAATCACCAGCTCTGATAGCAGGAAATGCCCCTGAGCATTCAAGAAACCTGCAGAAAAGGAAGGAAGACCATTTGAATAAGTTCTCCATTCCTGCAGACGTTAGGAACACAAGGAAATCAAAACCTTGTCAGAGAACTCCTCTACCCTCTGATCAGTCCTGCAAATGCAAAATTCAGAATAGTCTCTGAAACGTGCAGAGAAGATCCCACGGCTGTTATAGAAGGCATAGTGAAGTGTAACCAATGAGGAGGGCACAACATGCACACTGTAAATCCCCTAGTACATTCAGTCTGTGGGAGTCCAAGACATTCTCAGCCAGTTCATGTAGGGAGATGCTTGGGCCACAGGGAGAACAATACACTAGTCCTGTCTCTTGTCATCTCACTAGGTACACACACTCAAAAGTAGGAGATTGCTATGTAATAGGCATGCACATTCGGGAGCTTGCTGCTTCAGGCAAACTTTGATAGAGAAATCTGTGGCACAAGCCTTATCTTTGTTTGAGAAATGACAGAGTAAAACGAGCTGGCCCAGTGAGCTGTAGCCATTGCACAAACACCAAGACATGTGTTTGTAATAATACAATAATGTCTGCTATGCAAGCACTGGACCTATATTTCATATGAGAAACCCAACTAAGGACTTACAATTATAATTACTATACATCTATCTACTGTAGCAACTGAGGTAGGAATTCAAAGAGCATTATGAGATTATGAGCAACATGGAAATTGTCTAGCATGTGGGCTTGTTAAATAAAATTCAAAGAATCTCACATGAAATATTTTCATAATCTGTGCAACAGTTTTGTAAAGTAGGCCAGTACTATTCCAGTTACATAAGTGCAAGTCTCTTTCTACACTGGTTCCTGGGCTATAGTAAGGATAGTTTCTTGGAGTAAACTTCCCAGGAAAATTTGAATCAAAATTTTTCCATTGACAAGCAGCTTTAAACAACTTGGTTCTTGAGGAAAGGTATAATATGATGAAGTGTGCTTTTCGTTCTCTGAACACATTTTCAAGCGTTGCTATTTTCCACTACATGAACGGCACACAGCAGGCTGTGCTGGAGGAGCTGATTCTTCGCCACTTTCTTTATAAAAGAGCTGACGTCTTTGGCATACTCTTGTCTTTGGTTAGCAGAATAATAGCATGCTTCATAACTGTGTGTAATGAAAAATGCGCAAAGGGCTTTCACATCTCCTTCTTGCAGTCCCAGCATCTCCAGAGCTGACTCCCATGCCAACCTAATCCGTTGGTTTTTACCTTTTCGCCTCAGAATAGATGTGAGAGTAGGAAGGGCTCTTGCCAGATCTGGTAGCATTTTAACCACTTGAGAATGTAAACAATGAATAGTTTCACAGACGTAGCTGTAAAGAAGATTTACTTCCACGGAAGTGAATCTGCAAGAAGATGTGGAAATACAATCCAATTTTCAAATAATAACAGGCTCAATATTTATTCCCCTTCAGGTAAGAGGTGAGAGAATGATTGCATTCTAATAGCACAATCCTATGCTTCTTGATTCAGAGGTGAGCCCTACTGAATTCAGTGGGATTTTTCCTAGGTAAGTGTGTCTAGGATTGCAGCTTAAAGCTATAATCCTAACCACATTTACTAAAAGTTATGTTCTATTAAACTCAGTGGTGTGTTTGTTAATTTTAGATGCTGGACTTAAAGATCTTATGGGGCCCCTGTTTAAATAGTCATGTGTATTATTTCACTTTCAAACCTTCCAACTGTATCTTTCCTTACTGATATAACTGCTTATACATCCCTGATACATTAGAACAAGAGCAAGAAGAACAAAAACTATTTGCCAACCCTGATTTTAAAAACCAACTCCAACCTGTGTGCAGTTTTGTCTTCTAAACTCAGTTAAATTATAGCATCACCATGACTAGAAAAATCAAATGGCGCTTATTTCTGCTTCCCTTGTCACCTTCATGATCACCTAGGTGGTCATTTGGAGGGGCCCTGGATTTGGAATTTATGAGTCTAGAAAGCAACCTCAGAGAAGGGTAAAAGGGAACATTCCAGCAGAAAGAGAGGAGAGACTGGAGAGGACAGATTATGAACTATCCTGACTCCTGTCCAACCTCCTTCCCTCTCCTTCTGTAAACTTCCACCTCTGCATAGAATCAGCATAAACCTCTAAGTTTAGGAATGTATGGGCATTACCATTGGAATATTTCTTGTGAGCCACCCAGAGAGCCCTCAGGCTATGAAGCAGCATACAAATGCAATGCATACATAAATATGTACGTACATACATACAATTCTATGCATGTTCAAATAGAAAGAACCCCCAGAACTACCAGCATTACCCAACCAGCTATTCTGCCTTGGGGATGCTGGAAATTGAAGAGCTTTTTCTAGCTAAGCATGCATAGGATTGTGCCCCAGGTCAATGTTTATCTTCTTTGTTAAGAACATAAAGTTAGTATTGTTTTAATTTGCAAGGTTTAGTCAGACATCCTTAGATGAATTGTTTAGCACCAAAATTCCCACATCATAAATGAAGTATTACCCTCTTCTTTAAAAAGTTATGTTATACATAATTTAAAATCATCACACATTACAATCCAGTTTTGTGAACACAAATATGTAAAGCCAACCACCCTGAACCATTATCAGATAGGAATTACCACAAAGATAATATTATCAAAATACTTATATATCTTGTAACACTTAATTTTAGGTTTCTCACCTGTCCTCTAGCAGTGATGTCCACATTTCATCCTGGTCCATTTGATGCTCCAGGGCTGTAGTTCGAAATTCAAACTTCTCTGATAATTTCTGAATGTTGGAATCTAGCACAGTGAACTGAGCCTCTATATTTTGCAATTTGTTCTCCACCCTGTTAAGTTTTAAAAGCCAGAACAAGTTAGAATCAGGGGTCTCCATTTCTATAGCATGTATTTTAGTATAGTTTCCCCAATTTGACTTAAAAGTCCTCATATCCACAGGTGAATTGTAATTACTTGATGGATTTAATTGGCATAAAAGAGTTATTTCTAGTGCTATCAGTCAGAAAGCTCTGGGGCTATTCCATTAAAAAAAACCCCTCTGGGACATGAAACAGAAGTGGGAAAACATGGGAGGGCTGCAAGTGGAAGATGTCATTGCCTTGAACTATGCAAGATTCTGTGAATGAAGTAGGACAAGGGCAGTATAACACCTCGATTGAAAGCACCCAGATATTGTGGTTGGTTTCTATTAATTCCTTGCTGTCCACTTGGGAGGAATGATGGAGGAGTATAAAAACCATGCAGACCTGAAAACCATATCATTGTCTGAACTCAGAAACCAGGTGAGAAACCACTCTGGCAACCATGCATAGTAACAATTCAGTAAGCATGCAGCATGGTTTACCATTATGTGTGAACACCACCTATCATTGAACATGATGTTTCACAGAGTTGAATAAACATGAACAGTTTCCTGCTTCCAAAGAGCTTACAAGTTCAAGCAGGCTATGACCACAGTCAGACTGGCAAACACACAGACAGCTTTGGCTGGTCACTCACTCTCAGCATAACTTACTTACATGGCTGTTGCAAGGATAACATAGTGCTATGGAAGTTGCCTGGTATTCCTCACAAGAGGTAAAAAGGTAGATGGAAATGCAATGCAATAATAATAAATGTCAAGATAGAGTTGATCAGAGTACGGAGTTTTTAACTGAGTGGATGGAGAGGAGCAGGAAGAAGCAGCAAGACTTGGAAATTGGTTAGAGGTAGGGAACCAAGGGTAGAAAAAATCATAGATGAAATCACAACGGGGTGTTAGTGGATATGGTGAAAGAATAAAAAGTAAACAGGCTTAGGAGAAAAAATAAATAGTTTTGTCTTGGATATGTTGAATTTGAGAGAGTGATAAAACATCCTTCAAGGTATGAGTCCAAATGGAAAAGAGGACTGGAACAAAGTTGTGTATAGCAGAGATTACTGAAAGTCATGTGATTTGATGAGATCATTCTTCAGAAAGAGAAATCTAGGAGACTGGAGCAGATATGGGAAAGGCAGAGGGGAAAAACTGAATCTGAATAGAAATGTTGAACAATAATTTGACACTTTAATGGCGAACTAGCTAAGAACAGAACTACAGCCAGAAACAAAAGTCATACCAGAGGTCAACAGAGAGGTTACATTAGGGAAGACCCCTCAAGAGAGAGAGAGAGAGAGAGAGAGAGAGAGAGAGAGAGAGAGAGAGAGAGCACAGTGGGGGCAGAGGAGAGAAAACAATCACCTTCACCCATTGAAAGGTGTGGTTGGCAGAGAAAAAGGTCAAGATAACAAGGTGGTTCCAGTCATATTAAGAAATTATTCATTCTTTTCTTTCAGAATTTGAGTAATAAAAGATAACACAGAAAAACCGGGGAAGGTGATGAGTTGGTGATACTGTCCAGATACTCCATAATGTTCTTTGAATGAGGTGATGAGGTGATCTGGTAGCTCCCCAGGAACTAGAAACAAGAGGAATCAGTAAGAATGACTCATACAGGAGGAGAAGGGTTTAAGTCCTAACCCATAGATAGAAAGAAATCTTATAATTCCTAGCACACCTTCTGCTAAACTTAGTGACTAGGGCATGCTGGGAATTGTAGGATTTGTTCGCTATCTAAACCTGCATAGGATTGTGTCCTAAATTTTTGTTGCTTGTTTTCAAATTAAGCGAGTTGCTTGCATTTTTAAGCACAGGGAAAAGGAGCCCTAAGAAAGGGCAACATTGAAGGTGCAATGGAGAGGATGAGTTCAGCAGGTTAAGTGTTTAGAGGAGTGCAGGTAAGTGTTGCTTGCAGGTAAGTGTTTAGAGGAGTGCATTTAATTTACTTTTTCCATTGTATTCCATTACAGCGGAAAAAAAGCCTTGTGGCATATTTCAGTCTATAAGACATTTGTAGTAGTTAAGGTTCCACAGCTCTCCTTTTTAATATATTTTGGCTGTATTACCTTGCTTGGTCTAAGTACAGTTCTATTGCAGTGACAGCAACTATAGTACAAGACAGAGTTAAGTAAGCTTAGGGTGCAATCCTATGCATGTTGAGGCACAACTACATGTGCCTCTACAACTCAGCATTCTCCAACCAGCATGGTCTCCCGGGGCACTTTGGGATTTAGAGCACTTTTTCTGTCGAAACATGCATTGGATGGCACCTTGAAGCACACTGAAATCTTTGGATCCAAAGATGCACTTCCACATGTGTATTTTCCCTGTGGAAGAGACTTCTCATGGGGCACAGGAACTCCCTATACTGAGTTGGACTTTTGGTCCATCTAGCTCAATATTGTCAACACTGATTGGCAGCAGCTTTGCCATGTTTCAGGCAGGAGTTTTTCTGTTCCTATTTGGAAATGCTGGGAACTGAACTTGGGATTTTCTACATGCCAAGAATGTGCTGTACTACTGAGCTACAAGCCCCTCTCATTGGAGCATTGCACAAAATAGAAAAAAATGGAAAAGGTGAAGCTAAATCCAAAGATGCTCCATTGCTCAGTTTTTATTCACTCCCTCTTATAAAATTTATCAGAGAATGAGAACAAATGATACTCCTCCAATATCCAATGACCAGTTCTTTCATCAATCTCATAACATTAGATCCATTTAAAAAGGCCTTGTTTTATAGTTTCATTTATAGTTGCAAGTCTTGCATGCACAGACCTATTTAGGAAACCCCCCCCCAAAAAGTCTTGGGGTGCAGTTGCAGGTAATACAATCCAGATACTTAGTAAAATGGGAATATGTGGGGTTCAAAGCCTGCAAGGGTTTGTGAGCAACACAGAAAGCATGCCAGCACAGTCAAACTGGGTTTGATTTTAGGCATCCCAGCTTAAGTCATCTTGAGGTTAATTCTTTTCCCTAAGCATTCACCCTCCACCTATAGTCTGGAAACAATCACCTAACCTTGCAGGACTACATAGGTGAGAAATGCATATTGTGAACACAGGAACATTAATCCTAAAAACACATTCACCCAAAGGTCAGTCCATGGAAAGTTATATCCAAGTACATGTGCTTAAGATCAGAGCTCCAAAGTACTGGCATAACCCTAACCTAGCCCTAACCTTAAACTGTACAGCTAGATTTTAAAATGTTATATTCCAAGTAAAAAAGAAACAAGAATAACATTCTAAACACTGTAATGCAACTGGTTAATAATTTAATTCAATGTGTAATTTCTACAGAAATTAAAGATTGTCTAATAAAAGAAAGATTTAACAAGCTCTAAGACCTTACCAGTCCTCCAGAACTTTTATAAGTCACCACTGCATTAAAAAATAATCTTATTATGTATTTTCATAAAAGTCACCATGGAGACTTGTTCGGCCAAAAAAGATACCAATATTATAAATAAACTGCTAACATTTAAGGCATTCCACTCCAAATCGAAGTTAACTTTCCCACAACCTCTCCCCAACATAGCATATCTGCCTGTTGTTTCCCAATTTGTGACCTGTTTAATGTCTTGTTCAGAGCACACAGAGATATAGCCTCTCTGGTCATCTTCGGGAAGTAAAAAGGGAGGAAAGAATGAAGAATGTTGCTTTGCTTCTAGCTTGTAGCGGACAGCAACTGTAAACACAGGGTGTCCAACTTAAACTGAAGGTCAGTTTTCACTTTAAGCTTTTTATAGCAAGTACATCCAAGGATAGCTTATTAACACATGCCTACAAGCACATTATTTATTGAACTGCAACAGAGCAGCTGAGACAGTTTCTCTGATTATATAAATTTGAATTGCTTTCATGAAAAATAAAACACTGAAGTTACAATCCCATATATATTTATCTGAGGAAAAAGCCATACTGAACTCAGTGGAACACGTGTAGAAGGTTGTGCTGCAACTGTTGTTAGTACACCATTAATACTTAAACTTATATTTGTATTATGCTGCTTGTGAAAGGATCAGCAAGTTACTGCTTAAACTTTTTTGCTTTAAAATGTTAATGTTACCAACCTTGTTAAGCATTCCTCCTCCCACCTTAAAATAGAAATAACCAAGTGGGAAAGGATCTGTAGAAAGCAGCTATTTCTTAAAGGATGCATTGCTTGTATCTAATGATATATTTTATTCTCTGGCCATGTGTATGCATATGTATGTATATCAGACCCAGAAGCCAAAATATGTCTCAGGATAATATTCAGCTAGAAATTTTCATTCAGTTAGCATTTAGAGCAGGGCCTTTTCAGTAGCAGCCCCAAAATTGTGCAGCTGTTTGCTTTAGAATCATAGAATAATTAGAGCTGGAAGGGGCCTATAAAGCTACTGAGGCCAACCCCCTGATCAGTGCAGTATTCCAGGTTAAAGCATCTCTTATAGATGGCTGTCCAACTGTCTCTTGAATGCCTCCAGAGTGGTAGAGCCCATTACCTCCCTAGGCAGTTGGTTCCATTTTCATTCTGTTCTAACAGTTAGGAAGGTTTTCCTGATGCCCAGCTGGAATCTGGTTTTCAGGAACTTAAGCTCGTTATTCCATGTCCTGCACTCTGAAATGATTGAAAAGAGATCCTGGTCTTCCTCTGTGTTTCAGCCTTTCAAGTATCTGAAAAATGCTATCATTTCTCCATTCAGTCTTCTCTTCTCAAGGCTAAGCATGCCCAGTTCATTCACTCTCTCCTCAAAGGGCTTTGTTTCCAGTACCGAATATATTTTTTTACCCTCCTCTGAACTTTTTCCAGTTTGCCTGAATCTTCCGAAAATAAAACTGGGTCTTATATTGTTTGCTCCAAAAGCACTAGGGCTTATTTTCAGGTGATGTCTTATTTTTTTCTTATGAAAGCCATAAGATTCTTGCCCCTAGAGTCATCCACAACTCGATGGAATAGCTCTTTCTTTTTGCACCCATCTTGCATTTTACATCCACGCATTAAGCATGTCTGTTACAACACATAACATATTGATGTTATTCGTGCATTGTGTTTGTACTCTGATTGGACATTTGGTAATAAGTCTCACATTCATCTGTTTACATAGGCATTTACCTCTCGTTCAAAGGTGTCCACTTAATTTTAATGTATAATTTATTTTCAGTATTAATGTCAATAATATTATTTATTATTTGGAAAACTTATATGCCGCCCCATTCGCATAAGCCTCGGGGTGGCTTCCAATCCATAAATAAATACAATCAATAGAAATACATAAAATACTGGAGACATCCTGGCAAAAAAATTTAAAATCAATAAATAAAATCAACAATTAAAATAATGTTTAAATAAAAAGGTCTTGGCCTGGCCAGGTGGATCTCTCTTTAAATTTATTTATATTTAATATTATTCTTTTATAATTCAATACATCTATCATGTGATCTTAACTGGGGCTTATTTTTGGGGTAGGGCTTATTTTATGAGCATCCTGAAACATCATGCTAGGGCTTATTTTCCGGTTAGGCCTTATTTTCAGGGAAACACAGTAGTGCTGAATGGTTGTGAATCAGTACCTGATGTGATTTGGAAGCTATACTTATATTAATGCTTTTTTTGCAGCCACGTCACGGTATTGAGTCGTATTCAACTTGTGATCTACAATTCTGAGATCCTTCTTGCTTATAGTATTGTTGAGGCAAGTATCTCCCATCTTTTAACTATGTATTTGGTTTCCTTTTCCTAGGTGCAGAACGTTGTGTTTGTTCCTATTGAATTTAATTCTGTTGCTTTCAGTCCAGCACTCCAGCCTATCAAGATCACTCTGAACATTGCCTTTATCTTCCAGCTAATTCAATCAATTTTCCTGTACCTCTTTATCCAAAGCATTACCAAAAATGTTGAAGAACACTCATTGCAAATCTGAGCCTTACATTATCCCACTTATTACCTCCCCAGTCTGAAAAGATGCCACTGAAAAGCACTGTTTGAGTCTAATTCTGTACTCAGTTATGGATCTTTGTCAGAACAGAACTGATCTCCATAGGATTTTGAACATTATTGTACAACTTTTCCTTTCAGGAAAATGTTTTTGTTTATAGATTTTAGGACTTCATATGATGTATTATTGTTGCTTCTGCTTACTTATTCTGAGTATATCTACAATTTGAATGACTCTGAGTCTTATATTTGTACAAGTTTTAATTGTAAGCTACTTTGAGCAGCCCTTCTTTCTCTCCTTTATTTTAAAGACAAGGTATATTTTAAAAAGCAAGTGAAATTGAATGTTCCTCACTGGGACCTTTACAATATGCCCTGAAACATTTGTACTTTTACAGAATCAGAAGAAAATACTAATGTATATTAAATGCATTATAAATAGAATTTAAATGGAAATAAATGGAGCTTCCAGATAAGTGACAGAAAGATGACTGAGATTTCAGTTGTGCTGAGTGAATGCTTAACTTAAAAAACAATTAATACCCTGAATGGCTTAGTTCTGCCAATCCTCCAAACCCTAAGTTAAGTTTCTTCCTTCCTTACACTAGCCATAATTTGCTATGAAGTGCAGGTGAGCAAACCAAGTCTAGCTCTTATTCTAGCTCTTATTCTAAATGGAAATCTACTGGGGTTTCTAATTACAGTTAGCACCGTCCACAAAAAAAATGCTGATTTGGATATCTTTGGCAATGCCATTTTAGGATTATAGAATTGCATATACATACCTTCAGTTTCTCCTAATTTCAAACCTGACTTTTGTTTGAAATTCTGCAAAACACACTTTTTGCATTATCGAAAATGATCAGGCACAAGATAAATGATCAGGCTCATGGAAAAGATTTTTAGAGGGCACTCCTAGCTGTTTGATAGTGTCTGAGGGGCCATGGATAATTCAGATTCCTAGCTGTGATGTTGCAGACAGTGCTCAGATCTTGAGAGAGGAACCAGAGATCTGACTCCCTGCAGCTGGTATGGAAACAACTGTGCCAGCTGCTCTCCATGGTTGGAAAAGCAACCTCAGAGAGTAGAAGGTGCCATTTTACAGGGTGGGGAACATAATAGAGAAACCAGGGTATACACTATGCCACTGCCAGCTTCCTTCCCTCCCTCTTTGAGGTGCTTTTGCTAGATGGGCCAAAACACCCATCTAGCAATAATACAGAATAGGAGGATAAAGTGAAGATTCCCTCAGTAACATCTCTCTCTCTCTCTATCTGCATGGATAACCAGATGCTTCCGAGTTCAGGGCCTTAAAGCCATTGCCACTGGATTGTACCCTTAGTTACTTTTATAACCAAAAGTCTTATCAGTTGGTTATATTATGCTGCAAAAGTATGTAAAGATCAAGAAACCCAAGATTTTATAATAAGCTGTTACTCTTCCTTGTTATTCGATTGCACCTTAGGATTTATCACCTATGCTGAAGGCAGAAGGGTATGAGTGAGTCAAGAATCACTATGTCAAAAGAGAGAAATGTAACTTAGTTTCGTGACAGAAAGATACTTTTCATGGCAGGAATGTGAAAAGTTAGCATGTTTAACAAAATATTAAGCTAGTGGACTGCTTCTAATGCTGGGCATCTAAAAGTGAAAAAGGTTTTCCTCTCCCCTTCATATCTGCTCCTGTGCCCTGCTTCTGCTCTGGGGAGGCACAAGCAGATTAGGTGGGTGTGGGAGAAAGGAGGGCAAGAGAAATTCTAGGTTCACTCATATGCTGTTGAATATATCTTTTTCACAGCTTGTAGTAAGTAAATATGATAAAAATAATTGGATACTGAGTAGGATACAATTTATTGCAAAACTGCAACAAAACAAAAACAAAAACCCAAGAAAAGTCTCTAAAAACAGGGATATAATTTAGGAAGACATCAATTTTCTCAGCAACTGGCTGAGAAAATTAATTAGAAGCATCTGATAACTTTATGCACCAAGATGTTTTCTACAAGAAATCTGCATTTTCCTGAGCAATTTAAGATTCCATGATGCAGGGGACAGGGATATACCTACATTCACAATGGATCAAGTCAGAATTCCTCATGTATATATTGCATATAAAAGCTCAAATCCAAAGACCATTTTCACATTGTCCAATTGACTTAGAATTGTACTGGAGGTGCAAAATCAAATCAGTAGGGATACTTCAAAAGAGTTTAGCGTTGTTATACTGACATAATGCATAAAAATTGGGTTGAGCATAAAAGGAAAGGGGACTAAAGAACACCATGTGGACACACTCCTCCTATAATACAACCTTCAGGATTGTTTACTGGGATTCTGATTCAGAAGAAGAGAGGAAGAGGTAGGAATTCACAGTTGAAATGCCAAGGTCATTGGATCCAGAGTTAAGTCAAGCAGTCCCTGAGAAGCCGTTTGAAGTATGGTGGAAATTCTAGTGAGTAACTGAGATGGGCAGGAGCAGACTTAACATCATTAGGCCAATCATACAGAGTCAAGCTTAAAGAGTCAACCAATTGAGAAAAGTCCGATGTTCCAGAAGATTAGTACATAAGCAACATGATCCATTTTGAAGGTGGAGTCAGCTCTTGTTGGTTTAAAAGGGAGGAGAGCTTTTCAGTTTGGAATTAACTTTGTATCCTTAAGCCACATTTCTGTAATGGCCAGTATTCTAACTTTGCTTGTGCCTTTAGGTATTGACTTCTGCAACATTCTTCTTTTGTATCCCAAAGCCAGCCTGGCTGGCCAACTTTAACATAAAGTCTTTATTTAGAAAGTCTTTTGTCCTGATCTGTTTGGAAGGATGGTGAAAAGACCAGCAGAGCACATGAACTAAGTATCTGACTTAAAATGAGCAGCTTTGTTTTATAATTAATTTTCAAGTTGAATAGGGAGAATAAACAGATGTATTAAAATATTCTCACCCTTTTCTTATAGTATCGACTATCACCCATTTAGAACAGTTATAAAGCTTAGCATGATTTAACTATTTTATACAGGCTTGGCATCTGCAGCCAACATACAGAGCAAATGCCAAGACTCCCAGAAGGGCCACCACAGTTGATGCTTACTTTCATCGGGCACCACACTGAAAAGATGCTCCAAGCTGGGTGGCTGCAGGTACAGCCACTTCTTCTAGTACATCTCTCCTCAGCACTGAACTACTTACCACTGCCTACAGCTGTCCACTGTTACTGGCCTCCCTCCAACGCCACTGTCCAATCTTCCAAGCTCTGGAGAGGAAGTTGAGGGGCTGAGTGGAAAACACCATGCCTAGGGACCCCTTGAATTTTCCCTGATATCACATTGTAATCTTTTATCTTGATCGTAAGTTCAAATATTTTGAAATAAGTATCTTAATGTCTTAGGGAAAAAGCATATGCTATGATATGCTATTTTTATTTTTTCTTCTTGTTTTAGAATCAGAAATCTTTACAATCTTTACATTCACAATTCAGGATTTTTAGCAGTAAGAGCATATCAAATTTAACCCAAGATATGCCATTACTGATACAATGACATTTGTCAAGTGCCAAAATATATTTTTTTAGTAATGTATGGAAGGGCTGTAGGTGCTTTAATTAACTGGAGGTAATAAAGGTGATGTATTAAAAAAACACAGGTATCATGGAATCAATTACTTGCCAAGATAAGTATGCAGCTCAGCAATAGGATAGACTGATATACTGCTAGTCTGATCAGCAACCAGTATGTTCCTAGAACCTTTAATTTCTGCATATAAAATCCAGTTCACTTTCTCTCCATGTTCAATGGTTAATTTTGGTGAAATTGGCACACACTCATTTGCAAATTCTGCATTCATTCTGTCAACTTTCTGGGTGGTATTTGGTGTCTTAGTTTTCCTTCTGTGAATGGACTTGACTGGACTCTTCCGTTTTCCTATTTCATTGCTGACATCCCACAACAATACTCTGCCATCATTTCCTCCTGTAATTAACCAATAGGTGTCTGGTAAAAAGAAAACCTGTGATACTCCTAAGGAATGGCCCTTAAATGCCACTTCCTGTTCAAACTTGGTGCCTGTTACTTGGAAGATTCTTATTTTACCATCTTCAGCTCCACAGCTAAATACATTGCCACAAGGAGAAACAGACAAGGAATGAGCTAGGGGTGGATTAAAAAGTTGGCCAGCTGACTGCTCATTTGCTTCTTCCTCTTGCAAGTTCACAATCCACAGTGGACGAGCTTTCTGTAAGTTCCACATCATAACCTTGAAAAAGAACAATCCAGAATTATTTCACAGCACTATAAGCACATCATTTTTTGTTAATGTCTGTACATGTTGTCCCATTCCCAAAATCAGAAGCTGAGGCAGCTTTAACTCCCTGATAGTCTACTAATTAAACAGAAAAAAGCAATCTTACCTTCAGTGTATAGATCCATATCAAATAGCTCTCATATCACTATTAAATTTTATTTTTCCTACTGAACTTGTTTTTATATCATGCTTATGAAGGTGAACAGGGTATATTCTGCTGGAAGATCAGAGGTTCTCAAAGTCTTGCCTAGTGCTCTACCTAATTTGTGAAAATTTAGTTTGCATTCCTTATACAATAGACAGATCTGTATTTTATCTAATTGACAATGGCTAACAGAGGTAAATTGGCAAGCTTCATTATTTCTTAAAATTACAAGCCACAATGCAGAAAATAAGCACTAACTCTATATAACATAATTCACTTTACAAAGACTTTTAATATAGTTGACTCCTATTTAAAATATTTTCCTTTCTTCTTATCTCTTAGTCTTCAGCATTTTTCTGTCTCTCATCTTTCTCTGAATTCTACTCCTATCCTTGGAATAACCATCCTCTCTCTAAAAGAATTAGTTTTTCTGCATGCATTACTTTATCTTCTAGTGTTAATAATAATGTATTCTTTTAAAAAATAAAATTAGTTATGTGGGTCAGGACTCTCTGGCTCATTTCAGAAAGATTAGAAACTGGAAAGGAGGGAAGAATCTCTCCATGGGAGGAAGAAGAGAGCCAACACCACACTCTCATGGTCTGGAAACTGAACTGAGTCTGTACCTCTATATTTTGTTACACTTTTAGTTCTCCATTACTTATAAATGTGACTTCTATTAAAACCTCAAATTTCTCACACAATTTGAGTGAGATACTATCCACCTTCTATTTAAGAATGTAATTCTGGATGTCTCTAAAAAGAGAATTACCAAGGTTGTATCCAGTATAAAAACCATTTTTCCAGACTCAAAAATTATATCTACTAATCACATAATCATTGAGCTAGTCTGAACATCCTCAAAGATACTCTTTATGATATAACATGTTACAAGGCTAAACCACACATTAAACTTCTGCATTTGATTTAGCCATGTAGTTGAAACTAGGGCTCCCGGAGAGAACCACCATTGCTAGAGCTAATCCATTTTGTCTTAGTTGTTTTTGTTCTAATTTGACACAAATGCTATTCTTTTAAGTAGAATGTTCCGTCTCCTGAACAGTAAACTTGCAATAGTATAACTGGGCAAATTAATGGCAAGCAACACCACATGGTTTCCATGCTTCATTTTTTTTTTTTTTTTTTGCATGGATGAGCCCAACAGAAAATCAGGCTTATCATGCTAACTCTTCTCCCTGCTGCCATCCCCTTCCTTCTCAGTCTTCCAGATAGTATCTCAGGAGGCACGGGGGGAAGGAATAAGGCTTCTCTCTTTGACAGCCATGATTATGAGCTGAGCATGGCTTGTCACAGCTGTCATACAGTCTCTGTTATGCCAACTGGGCTAATGCCCTGTAGTGCAGCAGAGATGACAAGGAAGCTAATCAAGCACCCTTGTCTTCTGCTCCAGAGAGGATGGAGATCTATGCTCAGACAAAGGCAGAAAAATCAATCAGGTATCACTACTGAAAGGAGCTGCAGTCCCCTCTGCATGCACCTGAGGGCACTGCTATCCAACTGCCACCCTGCTCATGCACAAGAATGGAGGCAGAGGGTAACCTGCTGGGGCATACAGCCCCCATCTGGGTGCCACTGCCCAAACAATTCTCATCCCTCCTGCTCATGGAGGATGGGTGCCAGGGGAATCAACTGAGAAGCAGTGCTCTTCTCCTAGCACCGAACAACTGATCCCCTCTTTGGTTCCTGCCCTAAAGAAGGTCTTTAGTGCAGAAGGCAGGTGGATGGCAGACACCTCTGATGGCTGCATGAAACAGCAGCTGTCAGTGGCACTCTCTGTTGCCACTCTTGCCAAGTGGCTCTATGGGGCTGACCTTGGTAGCACAATGAGTTGTGTTTTCTCATTCAGATGAGACAACAAACCATCATGGTAGCAGGTAACCATAAAATAGACCATTGTTTCTGTTCATGGTTTTAAAAGTCAAATGTACCATGCTGAAATGCCACAGTGGGTCTCAGATAACACAACAGACCAACCTGTGTTAAAAACAAAGACAACCGCCCCGCCCCCATTATTTCCCTTAGTCATGGAGCCAATTAGGTGACTTTGGGCCAGTCCCAGACACTCAGCCCAACCTACCTCACAGGGTTATTGTTGTAAGGATAAGATTGAGAGCAGGAGGAGAATTATGTAAGCCACTTTGAGTTCACATAAAAAGTGGGACAGAATATTAATTAATTAATAGTAAGTATCTGCCTTTCCTCCACTGGTACAATGAGGCTCACAGATAGACTGACATAAGAAAACAGGGAAAATCTGGGGGCCACAATGTAATACAAAAAAAACTTTTCTTCTGCTGCTAATCACCTTCATATCCAGACCACATGAAAGAAGACTTTGAGGTCTTTCAGGCCGAAACACAGCAGATGCACAAATATTTGAATGTCGTTTCAGGCAGCGGCTTAACTTCTTCCTTTCCAAATCAATTATCTTGATTGCTCCAGAGTCATCTGCAGCAGCTAAGAAGCTGTCCGTTTCATTTACCGAAAGACAATTGATCTCTTCTTCATTTACATGGAAACATTCAATAGGTTCCTTGAGACATCTGGTATCCAGCATACTAATAGTCTCCCCATGGGAAGCATAAAGTCTACTAGGATGGATGGGAGAAAATACAACACTAGTAACATCATCAGCTTTCTGTATCTGTACATGTTCTAATGGACTCCCTTTCTCATTCCAGATAGTTAGTTCCCCTCCTTCAGCTCCTGAAGCCAGCATACCATCTTTGCTTACATTCAAACATAATATTGAAGAGGAATGTCCATTGGTCCACTTTTGAGCCATAGTATTTCAAATGAGACTGAAAAAACAAATATACAAACACTGATTAGTAGAGTAAAAATTGTATCTGATATAACTTGAAGCAGCCTCAATGGACAGATGCCATTTGATGCATTTGAGATATTAGTTTTCTCGATAAGACTATGAATTCCAGATATAGTGGCCTGTCATAAGAACTAACAGAAACATGTTTAGAAGAATTCCTCTTACAATTACTAACATCTGTCATATTTTAGTACCTAAAGTGTGGGTGTGCTCACCCAATATAGTCAGCTCACTCAAAGGGTCTAGCAACCTACAAAACATAATTAAAATAAACAACACAGCAGCTAGACAGATATCAGCTAGAAATGCTCGGGATTTCTTGCATTGGCCTAGAAAGCAAGTAAGGGACTATCCTTCACTAATTCTTCCTTGCCCACTTTTTCTGGATTAAGAGAAAGCAATAAAATGGGCTAAACTTACAATGAGGAGGTTATAGATGTATAGATACACAAACCTTTTGCAGTCTTAATATTACTTTGCCCATCTACACTGGACCGGTTGAAGATATAATTGAATTCTATCACTTAACAGAAAATCACAAACCAAGCCTCCAAACACACTGAAGACTTGTTCAAGATATCCTAGAGAGCTGTATAACACAGATTTCTCTATTCCATATTACTTAAGTTTTCACAGTCCACACTGTTCCTAATATATTGCAAGAACTAGGAATCTTCTGTGATGTGCTCCTGATGACTGAATGTTATGCATTTCCATATGGCAAGGCTGGTAACAAGCATTAGACACTGTCATGCCACTTGAAGACACAATTTATAGTTCTAGAACAAAGAGTATTAAAGCATCAATCTGGTTTTGTTTCAGACGAGAAGCCATTTGTTTAGGCAATAACTGTCTAATTATACATTACACTACATTAGCATATATTTGTGCATGGCATGAACACAAAGATTAATGGCAGATTATGTTTGGGAAAGTCAAATCATTGATAGTAGAATTATCAATAGTAAAGAAAGTAAACCCAAACATATCTATTATTCAGAGTAGAGTGTTTGAAAATGCAAAAATAAACAAACCAGTAGGAAACTCTACTGAATTTCCTTGAACTGACTTTGGCATAAATACAGTTATGATCACACTGTGTGGTTTACAAGACACACATGGGCAACTACATGGCACCAAAGTGAAAACTGGAGCCAGAGTAAGTGAGAAGATTGTTTGGTGATGGATACTAGCTCAGGCAAGTGTCATCAAAGAGAGAAGGCAAACACCATATGTGGATTAATAAAGCCCTTTTATTATATTTATATCCCAGCTTTCTTCCATTGTGGAACTAAAGGTGGCTGCATGCAGTTCTCAGATGCTCTCTCCTCCAAGCGCACGCCATCCCCCAGACCTGTTTTGCTTAAACATAATGGATGTCTTATGTGCCTTCAGAGCATTCTCTAGGCACTTAGTGAAGGGTGCATAAACATAAAAAATGAACCAAGGCAAAAGCAGAAGGCAAGATGGCAATTAAACAAGAAATGGCAAAACCAACCTAAGAGCTAAAATGAGCTAATGAGACAAAAACTTACCCTATCCTAAGCGTTTTTTATCGGAAATGAGTCCACAGCTCCTATGAAACTACTCCTAAATGAATATGCCAACCCAACGCACCACTTTATCAACCAGACTTGCGTTACCGCAAACCAAACGAAGAGCCTAACCTCTCCATGTAGGAATTTTCTCTTCCGGCGAAGAGAAATTACGTCACTCCTTCTTTGACAGTTGAAGTTGTTGCGCGCATGTATTTATAGAGGGTTTTCCGAAGCGCACAGGGATGGCTCTGCCCTCGCCAAATATGGCCGGTAGGCCTTCAAGGCCTAGCAACTTACGAAACAAATTTGAAATAAGCAACGGCGTTTCCTGAGAGGCAAGTGTCGGAAGCCTAGACTATTCTGGTTTCTGCTCCAGCCGCAAATCTGAGGGGAGAGAGCGGCAATTCCCAATGGACCCGTAAGCTGAACCGCACGCAGGCTGCTCGCTATCATTTCCGCCCGCCCTTACCGGCAACGGGTGGGGAGGACGTTGAGCGTCCGGCCCTCCTTCTTTCCTAGCCGACGGCGCGAGCCGGATTGGTTCGTGGGCTGGCTGGTGTCCTCGCGGCCTCGCACCGCCTTCGCCCGGGTCCGTTTGGACGGTGCGCGCGCGCGCGCGCGCGCGCAAGAATCGGTGGTCGGTCGCCTGAGGCTATGGCGGCGGCTGCTGCCAGCGGCGGGGTGCCGAGTTCGGCGGCCGCCGCCGCCGCTGCTGCTGCGGGGAGCTGGCGGCTTCCTGGGCGGGTGCTGGAATTCGTCTTCTCCTACCTAGACCTGCGGGAGCTGCGAAGCTGCGCGCTGGTGTGTAAGCTGTGGTACCGCGTCCTGCACGGCGACGAGAACAGCGAGGTGTGGCGCAGCCTGGCGGCTCGCAGCCTGGCCGAGGAGGCGCTGCGCACCGACATCCTCTGCAACGTGCCCACTTACAAGGGCAAGGTCAGGATCACTGTTCCGCTCCCTTTGCGCGCGTAAGCCAATGGATGAGGAACGCAGGGCTGGAGGGAAAAGGCGGTGGCGGCGGCACCCCACAGAAACTCTGCTCCATCTAGTCGTCCTCTAGCTTTGTTGGACTACAACTCCCAACAACCCCCAGCGTGTATGGCCGTGCTGCTTGAGTGGTGGTTTTCCGAAGTTGTTGTCCAACAAATCTGCAAGGCACCTTGTTGGGGAAGTAGCGCTCGTCTCATGCACACCTTCCCGTTAGATGTACTTAATGCTAGTTTGTTTAGGAGTAATCCTTTTTGTGAATTCAATGTCGTTTCCTTTAAATCTATACATGTGGGAAAGGGCTAGAGTAAGTGAGGAGTGGATATTTCTGTACATCCTCAAAGGCACTGTATATTTCTTATTTGGTTCGTAAGAAGAATTCTGGCATTCAAAACTGATTCTGGTGCTGTTTTTTCTCTCTCGAAAGAATAACTGCTTTATATCAGTGGTGTGGAAAGTTCCCACAAAAGCATGTTATGTAGATGTGGGTTCTTCAGCTGCTGGTTATGGGTCAGATGCCTTTTCTGTTAAAAGTTGTCATCTAAAGAAGGGCAGCTATACTGATAAATTGTGGCAACCGTTCCACAAAGAAAGGAAGCAAGACCACTCCATTGGGTCTACTGAAATATTAGCCTATTTCATGGTTTAAATTCCCCCTCCCCCCACCCCATATCTAACTTATACCTGGAATTTTTAAGGCTCAATTCTTGTTGCAGTGGTACAAAAAAAGGTCTTGCTTAGGTTGAGGAGCAGAGGTAGAGGAACAACTAATAAATCTATGTTATTACAAAATGCACTTATTATTTGCATACTTTGCAATCTTATGTAGTTTTACAATCTTATCTCAGATCTCTTATTTAAACTCCCTCTGTTTTAGGTACGTGCCTTTCAGCATGCTTTCAGCACCAATGATTGTTCTAGGAATGTCTACATTAAGAAAAATGGATTTACTTTGCACCGGAATCCCATTGCTCAGAGTACGGATGGAGCAAGGACCAAGATTGGCTTCAGTGAAGGCCGTCATGCCTGGGAAGTTTGGTGGGAAGGTCCTCTCGGCACCGTGGCAGTAATTGGAATTGCTACAAAACGTGCTCCCATGCAGTGTCAGGGCTATGTGGCCCTCCTAGGCAGTGATGACCAGAGCTGGGGTTGGAATTTGGTGGACAATAACTTGCTACATAATGGAGAAGTCAATGGCAGTTTTCCCCAGTGCAACAATGCCCCAAAATATCAAGTGAGTGTAATCTAGTATATACTCAGAACTCTGCTGGATCTGTAAAACTCTGTGTCTTCAACAGTTTTTGTCCAGTAGATTGTGATGTGTTTTAAGTTCTGAACTTGTATTTCTGTGTGCATCATCTTTGAAATAAGTCCTGCTAATTCAGTGGAACTTACTCCCAAGTAAGTGAGCCTACGATTGAAGCAATTTGTACTTAAACAGAGAGGTCATTTAAGGGACAATCTTATGCATATTTAAACAGGAAAAAGTCCTACAGCTTCAAGCTTTTCCAGGCAGCATGGCTGACTGGTGAATGCTGGGAGTTGGAGGACCTTGTCTCTATTCAAATATACATAGGATTGTGCCCTTGGAGTCCTTTGTGTGACACTAACTTTACCAGTGATCAATAGAAAACCTTTTCAAAGGTTCTATCACTGAAGTAATTATATGTATATTTTTCTCCCAAGCAAGTGTTCTATTTCTACTATCTATTTGCTATTTTTTGTCACTTCATTTTCATTTTTTCACTCTTTTCTTTTTTTAAACAGATAGGTGAGAGAATTCGTGTCATCCTGGACATGGAAGATAAGACATTGGCATTCGAGCGAGGCTATGAGTTCCTAGGAGTTGCATTTCGGGGACTGCCAAAGACATGTCTGTATCCAGCAGTGTCTGCCGTGTATGGCAACACTGAGGTGACGTTAGTTTATTTGGGAAAGCCTTTAGATGGATGACGCTTTTGTTTTTTAACTGGGACATGAAAATCAAGTTCACGATATGGAAAAACTTGCATGTTGGTTAATAGGAAAGCATGAGTGAAATATGTGGATGAGTGTCCAAGAAACATCTAGGAAAACCAAAACTTGTGATCTAGAAGACCAGCTATACTGAAGATAATACATTCACATTTCCTTTTTCTGCCGGACCAGAAAAATCCTCAGGGGGTTACAGTTGGTTGAATGGGCAGTTAACCACATGCATGTTGCCTAAGTTCTTGTTGCAAAGATGGCAATGTGGAATCTTGTACATATTTAAGGAAGTGTTTAAGGGACATGGTTGAGGAAGTTACCTGAGATGTGTGTGTAGTGCTTTTTGTGTAAAAGATTTCCATTTTTAAAGTCATTTGTTCTCTCCCTGCCTCTGATCCAGTGTGTTTTACCAAAGGTAACAAACTGGTTGCATTTTATTTAATATATTTTAAATGTGTACCGAGAAGCATAATCTCAGGACAGCACTTCTCCAGAGTTGAATAATGTGCAGCTACACTGATGTGTATTTTAAAGACTGTTTCTGTGTAACACTTAAATTAGAACAAAACCAGTGGTTGCTTTGGCTCTATTTGGGATGTAAATTCTTAACCTACTGCTCCCCACTAAACTTCAGTTGTCAGCTTCTTTCTTTGGAACAGATAACATAAAGTATATTTATTTTGTTTTGTTATACAGCACCTCTTGTGGTAAAAGGAGCCATGTATGCTTATTGTAAAATGGACATGACTAAAAGCTACAAGTGTGTTTGTCAGTGCGTGTAAGGGTAAAGTCCATTTCTAATAGTGTTTTGAAAAAGGTTTCCAAAGTACTCCCCAAATATTTACTGTTTTAAAATTCCTTGGAAGAATTTATCTTCAAACATTTAAACCATTAGCTTACATACATTGAAACCTAAACAGTAATCAAATATTCTAACTTTCAAGTTTCAGGTATGGAGTCTGTTCTTAGCTTGTATTAAAACTTATTGTGTTGGCAGAGAAATCTTTCTGCAAAGCTAATGAGTTGTGTACAAAGGAAGCATTGCAGATGAAGTGTCAACCTTTCCCCAAAGCAATTTTCCCTACAGGGTTCTAGAACTCTCTGGAATAGTTTCTGCACAGCTTATGTCTTAACCTTGTAAATTCACAGGCAGGCTCTTGCTAGTATGATGTATTGTTTTGTCTTAAACATTATTTATTTAAGGGCAAGTAATAAAACATTTTCAGTCCAATCCTATGAATGTTTCTTTAAAAGTAAGACTTCCTGCATTCAGTGGAGCTTACTGTCAGGAAAATATGCATAGGATTGTGGTCTTTGGAGTGAAAGAGGTATTGTTTACATTATTTACTATATAATTTGAATTATGCAGTCATCTGATAGTTTCTTAGGTGCTCAAAAGACAAAACTTCTCTTTAGGGATTTATATTCTCAGTTAAGCCAGAGAAAGCTGAGTTCTGTGGACGCTGCTAAACACTAGGTTTGTACTTTTAGTGAAAGATATTTAACCTCCAGGGGTCACTGCATGAACGGCTTAAAATGGTAACTCTTAAGCCAGTATCTCTAGCATCAATGTTTAACAGTTGCTTCAGTGCTCATTCTGCCACCTCCCCACCAACCTAACTGGCTTGTTCCCTGTGGCACCACTGAAGAATAGGGCAATCCTGTACATGCTTACTTGGAAACATGCTCTATTACAGTGAGACTTACTCCCAAGTATATGTGTAAAGGATTGCAGCCGATAACATCTAGCTTGAATCTTATTTTTAAAGCACTGCTATTGCCTCCTTGTAGTTGTTGCAGAAGAAAGTCATGGTTGGATATTGGTTTTGGACTGTGAATCTCCTTTCTATGCACAGTTTTTGGTTGAATGTATAGCATGGCACACTGATACTAATAACATTAAAATATTCTGGAAGAGTTTTCTTTCACAGGCTGCTATAAAACAAAATAGAGAGGTTTTTGTTTTTTTTGTTTTTTAAAGAAAAGACAGGACTGACTTTGCTGAGGGAGTCATACGTTTGCATGTTCTCAACTGCTCAGGCTTGACTTATTCCCAGGCCTTTACCTTAGTTTCCTTCCATCCTTCGTTTCCAATACTACAAAACTGCATCTGGAGGCTGCATGTATGACAAGTTCATTCCTCGTCTGTTTCTGAAATGAAGTTAAATCAAAGCAAATGAATACCATTCAACATATGGTACTAAAAAGTAGTGGATGAATTGGGAAAGATGTATAATTTCTAGAAAAAATGTTGACCTTATACAATGCTGTTAAATATATCACTACAAAGTTCTTATGTCATGAGCAAAAATAAAAGAGTTTGTTACAGTCATACAGTGTCCCTGTGCAGTCTGGGATAGTTTACCCTCTGCATTTATTTATGGATGTTAAGGAGAGAGAGCTTGTCATAAGAACTGTACCAGGGAATTTTATTGTACCAGAGATTTTATTTTCATTTATATAGGATGTGCTGCCTTTCTCCATTCATGAGGCATAGCAGTCTGGTTTTGCCATTGATCCAAAATTCCTTGAGGCACAGGGGACACATTTGTGTATATAAACCTGTTATAACTTATTACCTGAAGACCAACTGTAAACTGTACAAAATACTGAAATAAATTACTAAAACAATAAAATGCTACTTTGTAGTATTGTGTTTTATAGTTGAGTGTGTTCGTGGATTAGAGTGTGAAATTGCCACTTTTCCTGGAAGCAATGCATTGCTTGATTGTGTGCACACACATGTGCGTACCCTGCCTCTTTCTCACACATACACGAGAGATGGCGGGGGGGGGGGGGAGAAGAAAGGGCTGAGCTTACTGTCCTATAGGGCGTTCACTAGTTACTTGTGTAGTACAGTAGCCTAAAATTCCAGACTTGCTAATCTTCCACTATCATGCATATAACATTCAGGGAATCTCAAGAGTGTTGATCCTCATTCCAGGTTATTTACTGGGTGGGGAGGACACATAAGATCCAGGCTTGCTCTTCTCCTTGTTCATTGCTTGAGTTGCCTATGTGTCTGGGTTTTGTGTGAACTGGAGGTCAAATGAATTGGTGGTCAAATCTTTTTCACTTTATCATGTAAATAACAGTGATTGAAAGTGATAGCTCAAAGAAGGGTATAAGTTGATACTAGGGCTCCTATGTCTTTGCCAAAGATAAATGAATACGCAGTTCTTCACAGCAACAGAAGAACATAAAGCTGCTACACTTCTTTACTGGTGTTAATTCCCTTGTATGCCTCTCCTGGCGCACTTCCATTAGCAAGTAGAACTATGCTGTGGGATAAAATTGGGTTGGATCTAGGGATTGATCAGATAGGCCAGGAGGTACATAGTCTTTTCTCTTGGGGCATTTAAACCTGCACCATCCTATGCACACACATTACAGTCTCACATAGTTAAGCTACTTGCTGCATTGAACCCTGCCTGCCATTCTTCCTTGGGGAAAGGAATAGGAGACATGAGAGAGAGAAGCAGTCAGTGGGTGCATGCAGAGGTAAGGCAGGTAGAATATATCTAAAAAAAACACTAGAGGCTGGGGGATGCTGGAAAGGGAAAGACCATGGAGAGTTGGGAGCAAGTTTAAGCTTTCCTTCCCTGAAAAGGGGGGGAGATTAGGGCATAATTGTTTTCTTGTGTGTGAAAATGCTAGCACTAGCCTTGGGTGATGGATGGGGAGTGTGCATTTAAGAGGATAGATGAATGGTATAGGCTGAGGTGTGGGGAGTTTATGTGAAAAAGATGAATGGATATTGGAATGAGAAAGAAGTGTTGCTTCCTACCAAATTATTTCAATTCTATACTGCCTAGTAGCCAAAGTCATTTGGACAGTTTATAAAAATTCATAAGCTACAATCCATAAATATAATAAAATAGTATACAATATTTTTCCAGGAGACAAAATTTTAAAACAACAGCTAGATTGATTCTAGTACAACTATTATACCTTAAATATCCTGAAATGCTATTAAATACCTGGTAGAAATGAGTAGTGTAAAGGTGGTGCTGAAAAATGAAGAGTCATATATGTTTGATACATGTGTCTACTGCATTCATGTGTTTTAGATGCATACCTAAAACATCTTGGCAGGGCATTTAGAAAATACACCCAATTACTCTCAAGAGGCCACAAATCTTGCTCTCTAGGTAAAAGTGCCTTGATCCAGTGTGGTGGGGGTGGGGGTGGGGGTGGGGGGGGAGCACATTGTATTCTTAACAGCTATTTAGTATGACACTTTAAGCAGAACCTACTTGAGGTGGATGACAGGATAGGAAAATCCCTGAAAGAGGCAGTCTGACTGAAGCTACAGTTCGGTGATCACAGCTGTTCCAGTTTGCTTCTACAGGCTTTTGTGTAAAGGGGCATGGTCCCCACTGAAAGGCAGGGCTTCAAGTTCCTAATTTCTGAAGGTTGTCCGTGAAGCAGTTTAAGGGCATGAGGTTGTTGTACGTGCGGTTGTCATGCTACAGTTGCTGGTCTCTTCCTTCCTCTTTCACTCACATGTGAGGTTTATACTTTTGCACAGATGGACCAGGAAAATGATTTGGACTTGCCTTGACGCAGAGGTCTGAGAGTGTATTTTGACCAAATTGCTGAGGATTACATCTGTCTGATGCCTTTCTTTTAAACTGCTGCCTTCCCCACTAGAACATAAAACAGGGAAGTAGAACTCCTGTTTGGCATCTGAGTACAGAAACTTTTGTCGTGGATCCTTATATGCATATCAAAAAGGTCAGTCACATTTGCTTTCCCGCTTGTCTTATTGTTGATATGAATTAATGTTTGTTCAACATATCCGTTCACATTTCAAAGTTTTGTCTGATCCAGCATGGCTTTTCTATGTTTCTATTATCAGAGTGAGTGGGGAGCTTGGCAGGCACCAAGAGACGTATTGGCAGGCATGTTGGTGCCCATAGGCACCATGCTGGGGACCCTCGCCACAGTGTGTATAAAAAGTCTGAGGGGTGGATACAGCCTGGACTAGTGACATCCTCGCATTATATGGTGATGGCACAGGCTGCCAGTACTCCCTGCATGCATTTAGAAATTGATTTTGTTGTCCCTTCATAGCCTGCAGCTGTTGGGCAAAATGATGCACATGACTCCTTTTACAAGCTTCTGAATAGATTACTCCTCTAGATTCATGTATATTTCTTGAAGTGCATGGTTGTTCCAAAGACTCTACATTCTCTGTGATACAGTGGGTTGTGTGAAGAGTATTCGTATATATTCATTTCTGCTAACTGTACCAACGTCCTAAAGTGAACATGAGCGTAGGAATGTGGATGGCTGACTCACATGCAGATCAAAGTTGCTATTTGCTTAAATCTTTAGATCAGTGGTATTTAGGAGGGCTGAAATATTTTTGGTCAGAGAGAAGTATCTGTTGGTCAATGGGCCATACCAAAATGCAAACATTTTGTTTGTTTCTTCCCCTTCAAACCCTTGCCAAAATGTGAGGGAGGCTAAGTGACCTAGAGTGTGTGCGGCTGGATGACATAAGCAAGCGGGTTTCATGAGATTTCTGGTGCTAGGAATACATTTTCTAATTGCTAAAATAGAGTACAGTTTCTCTTCAACCCTGCCCATGATTTTTAAATCCAAGCTGCATGATCAGCAGACTTCTATGATACATCTGTAGCAGAAATGAACTTTTTTACATGACAGGTAGAAGATTGCATGTTAGATGCCCCACCATATAAAAATCCCCTGCCTTTAGCATGGTGGGCTGTGGAGTTCTGGGCCAGCTTTCTTCCCAGATGTGCTAGTTCTGTAAGCATAGGGGTTTTCTGAAAGACCATTTTAACCAAAAGCAGTTTAAACTTAAATTAACTCTGGTGAAGTTGCAAGCTGCTAAGTGTAAATTGTTTTGCTGATAATTTAACATGGGATTTTGGACATTGATTCTGTATCATAGCAAGAAGCTTTGTGTCTCCTTCCTCTGATTGGTCTACCCAGGAAGTATAGAATCAGTATACACAGGTAATATGATGGGAATAAAGGTTCCGTGCAAGTTAAGGATCATATATCCTGGGAGTATATTGGACTATAGATCAACCATACTGCACTCAAAAGAGAATGAAGAAGTCACTGCAAGTTCACTGTGTGATGCTTAGGCAACATAGTTGGCCTCATTGTGGTGTTTAGGCCTTAGCTGGTCTAATTAATGTTCAAAGCTGTGGCTCACCTTCTCTTGCCTTCCTCCACTTTTAAAAAACTTCAGGAAATTGTGAATTGCAAATTTTGCATAGCTTTGCTAGAAAAACTAACCCATAATCAGATAAGAGAAGATAAGGTTTTTTTTCTTTTTTTTTTTGCATACATTGGATGCTGAGGTTGGAACATTGCTACAGCTGTGTTCTCCTCAGTGTTTCCTATGCTGATAATGTCAAAAGTTATTAATTAGACCTCTAGGATATTGCTAAGCTTAACTAGGAGTTTGGACTAAAAATGAAACAATGTTTTGAAAAGTATTTCGAAACTTGACCATTAATTGTAGCAAATGTCTTGCTTGTGATGGAGCTCCGTCGGTATACTGTGGATTTCCCTGGTGTGGCTCAGATGTAAAGTTAAATCATGGTTTGGCACATTGCAAATAAATCATGAGCTTGCATCTGAAGCAACAGTTTGCCTAGAATACCAGGACTATAATTCAGGGTTTGATCTTGGATAAGCACAAATCATAATTGGCCAGTTTAGCTGTAACAGCATATGATGGTTTGTTTATAAAACTGGACAGAAAGGAGATAATAGCTGCAGAGAGAGAAAGCAGTTTGTAAGGCAGAACTCTGTTCTAAGCTCACTTACATAATTTTATTTTTTACAACTACAAAGGACTAATAATAATAAAATCCATGAACAAGCTAACAGAATTAGATAGAACCAAAATAGAACTTATAAAATACTAAATTCTCTCTCTATATCTATCTATCTATCTATCTATCTATTGCGCCAAAAATAGAACACAAACCATTAACATTAGTAAATAAATAACTCACAGTTAAAATCATGTTATGCCATGACACAGTTTGGTATATATTGAGCTGAAGCCTTGGATAAGTAGTTCATGTCATGGTTGTGATATGTTTCATACAGTGAATGGAAAACCCCATATTTCCAGATTCTAGAGAATCTAGATTCTCTTTCCTTTGACTTCCTGTTTAAATTGCTGCTTAAATTATGTTGTTAAGCAGCCTGTTTCATTTGAAAATGTAAGAGGAACGAGGAAGGAACGAGGAAGGAGTTTCCAGTAACATGCTTGTATTACATGATCACGGATCCAGAAATCTGCATTCAGATTATCAATTTAGGGTTGCTTATTATCTCACACCAGTTAGTTTTCCTATGCCATATTTCTTTGGATAAGGAATTCCATAGTGCTTTCATTTATATGCATAGTCTAGTAAAGATACAGGGCAAAAAGTGAATGAGGGCAAAAGTGCTTTCCATTCAGAAATGATAACATGAAAATATTGAAAACCTGCCAAAATCAAAGCACTGGAACATTTTCCATTTCAAAATAGCGGGCATCTGCTAATCATTAATTAAGTGTAATTTCTCCTTAAGCTTTTAATATTCAGTTTTGTAATGTTCTGGTGAATACTTATTAATTGTGAAATATATATTCTAAGAGATATGTGGGTCCAGGAACATGGCCAAACTGTATTTTTCCTAGACCAAAATAACTTTTGTATTTATGGTGACTTTTGAATTTCATGTAGCTCTGCAAAGCAGAAATTGCTATGGTATTTTAACCTACTCTGAGCCTTCAGGAAAGGGTATGCTCAGTCATATGGACAAAGATAAGGGTTTGGTTTGAGCTTTGGTTCACTGGACCCTTAGCATTTTTTCCATCCAATAGTGTAGAATGTTGACACAATTGAAACCAAAGCTGGTTCACTGAGAAAGAAAAGGAGGTTATTGGCATGCTTAAGGGAGGAGCCCTGAAAGTTGACAAAGAAACACCTAACTGCATCTAAGGGGCCACCCTTCCAAAAAAAGCCCTACAGATCTGAGTTTACTCAGTAATCATGGGGTACTGAATGCCCCTTGAAACAAAAAGAACAGGGGTGCGGGTGGAATGGCTTGCTGGAGGAGGGCATGCATGGATGGGTGGCTGGAACGCTGAAAGGGGTACACCCAAAGTAAACAGTTTGGAACAAATTGCAACATTTTTTTGTAGTTCCGCTTGTTGTAACCTATGGTTCAGTCCTGGAAATGTGCAGGAATAAACTTTTTTGACACTTGCAAGGTACCTCTCACTGTTATGTAATGGTTATCACAACTGGTCTCCTTTAGGGAAGCAGCCTTTTGATGCAATTGCCAGCCCAGATGAGATGGTGGTGGTGGGTAATCTGTAAGAGCCACTCAGGCTACCTGGACCATATTGCACTTCAGCTACATAGCATCATGCAAGCAAAAAGGGGGGCACAGCAGGCTGCAGAGCCTTAGAGAAGCCTACAAAAACCTTAGGAACTGGCAATAGAACTTTATTTTTGTACAGGTAAGTCTACAACTGTTGAATAGGTACTTTAGTGTATGCCTGGAGCATGATGCTAAAGGATTTATTGGAGTTACTGCCATAGGAAGTTAAGTAATATTGTTTAATTATGGTTTATGTGTTGTTAGTATGTGGCTTAGCTTTTTCTGTATAATAAAGGAAATACCAGTTCACTTATAAAGGCACTGTTATGCTATCCTTGTTTCCGAGATACTAGAACACCTGGAAGTGGATTGTAGCAACCATTTCACTACTTAGGTGCTCAAAAAGGTATGTATTGTGCTGGCAATACCTTTATCATTCCATACCCCATACCATCCTCAGTCTTCTAGTCATGCAGAATGCATAAATGGCACCATAAAATAATGGTTTGGCCAAAGACGACATAGGCCACAAAATGGAAATGATCAAATGCATTGTCAATAGTTCTGGTGCAAATCCAAACACAAAACTTTTGTAAAGTTTCCTTTTTTTTTTGAATAATATTTGGTAGGAAAATAATACAATAATAATCAAAATGCAATAATACGACTGGCAACTGAGGAATTGGGAGAACTTCAAAATGCATAATTAAAAGGCTTAATTAAAACTTTGTCCAGTTCTCACCAACAGGTGAAGGCAGCATTGAGTAACATGCCATACCAGACAGGTGTCTAAGCATATGGCAAAAGAAAAGCGTTGTGCCCAATTGAGAAGGTCCATTCCAAGTCTGGGCACCAGCTATGCCAGTGAAAGACATCATGGATTCAGATATCACATAGGAAGAAAGACTGGAAATGGAGCTGATTAGACACTGGAAACTTGAAACTCTTGTTAACATAAGAACAAGCTTGCCTGACCAGGAAAAGGACTAGCTTAAGCTGATAAAATCACTAGAAAACCAAGTTAGGCCAAAATGTGTCCATTTGCTTGATGATTTATACTGTCAAAGCATCCATTAGAATGATACATGATCTCCAAACAAGAATAAAAAGAAAACATCAAATAAAAATAGCAAATAGACTGACTTTAATCTATCCTTCAACTAAAAAAGAGGGGTTTTGTTACAATACCAACAGCATTGCAGTTCTGATTGTTCTGGTTTTGTTGTAAAGAAACTTTCCATAACTTTAAGAAACTATAAGAAATTAGTCAGAAAAAGATAGCTGAGATAGTGACGCATAACATTGCAAGTGTTAGTATCTGGAGATAGTTACCAAGGACAGAATGGATTTAAACCATGTTTAAAGGACTGATGGATGGAAGCCCATTTTTCTATGTCCTGCACTCTGGGATGACTGAGAAGAGATCGTGGCCCTCTACTCTGTGACAGCTTTTCAAATATTTAAAAAGTGCTATCATATTTTCCTTCAGTCTTCTCTTTCTAAGGCTAAACATGTCCAGCTCTTTCAATCTCTCCTCAAAGGGCTTTGTTTCCAGTCCCCTGAACATCGTTTTTGCCATCCTCTGAACTTTTTCTAGTTTGTCTGTTTAAGTGTGAATATCTGAATTGAAAGAGTGAGTGTGCCACTGATGATAATCCTGAAAGAAGAAAAAGATAGTAGAAGTACATTAGAATAATTATTATTTTTTCCAAGGGGAAAAAAGGAGGGATTGTTGGCAAAGACGGTATCACCTTTGTTCTTACAGATGCAGTGTCAAAGAGAAAACTTGTGTGTATGTAGCTGTGGGAGAACGGCTACTAGATAACAAGAGAGAGCAAGAAGAAATCCGGCTAAGGATGAGTGTTTGAGCTGCATCTTGAAAAGGTGGTCCTTAGGATAGGCATGAACAGAGGGAGGGGACCTATGAGAGAGTTGTCAGAGGAAGAGGTGAAAACTATTAAAGCATTTTTCTAATTAAGTACTGCCTTACAAGGTGTTCTGCCTTACATGTGTAACAATATGTCAACAGACTTGCGTGCCATATTCTTAATAAATATTTCTAGTTTGCTTTTCTTGAATCTATTTGGCCCATTTCATGAAGGATCTGACACTATCTTATACTCTCTCTGGGCAGCTGTAGCCAGCCTCAGTACTCTCCCATACAATCTTAGCCCACTTAGGCAGCAATCTCATTTGCCTTGTTGTGCAGAAGACGTGGTGTGTGACAGTAACTGGAAGCCAAGGACTGGCCAGGTAGGATGGCTGTTTATGAATTGCCAAAAGGAGGACATAGATTTCCATAACATTTACATACACCCATGTATGAATTTGAATTTAGAAAGCAATATTATAATTTATATTGTAGTTTTATAATATTATAATTTAAATACAGTGCATATCACTGTAAAGTGGGAAGCTGTGAACAGATGACCTGCTCAGTCTGTTGTCCTGGTGTTGCTGCTGAGCAATGCCAAGGCCCATTTTAGTAGCACCCCCAAAGCTTATAAGGGTATTGCAGCCCTTTAAGACTAACACATTCATGGTGGCATCAACTTACATGGACAAGTGTCCAGTTGCATCTGCTGAAATGGACCCTGTAGTTCTTGCAGGCTTATGCCCTAATAATTTTGTTAGGCCTTCTAGCATGTGCTAGGAGAAGCTTTTCTTTTGTGAGAAAGGGAAAGGAAAGTTCTTGGTAACTAAGCATTTACAGGCAGCAGTCACCCAAGGTTCAGTGAATGACTTCTGCATTGTTTCCTTCCTCTCATTTCCCTTCTCAGCTCCTTCTCATTTTCAAGTGACTTGCATTTGTGTAAACTTGCTGTGTGCAACTGTTGAGCTCAGGGTGGAGCTGGCTAGCTGAAGCAGTTTGCAACTCACTCTGTCATCCATGTGACTACAGTTTCCGTTAGTTCCTTCCGCAAGTTCTAAATTAATCTGAAGTTAAGCGAGCACAAAACAGCTACTTGTATTATTTATCCGTTTGTTTTGTTTTGTTCTTCAGAGATCAGAAGACAAGTGATCACTGGTGCAGAATGAATCTCCTAGGGAAGAGTGTGTTGCTCCAAGAGGTCAGTAACAAGTCCAGAACGTTTCAGTGTTCTTCACTTTAAGTTGGGGTGCTGATGATAATGAAAGTGGGCAATGCAGCAGCTATTGGTCCATGCCTAATTCCCTACACAGCAAAAGGCATTTCTCATCTTGTAGTGTGGTGGAGTTCACTGAGAATCTGTATTGGTTCCACACAGTGGGGTGGTTCTTGGAATACACGATATAGTATTTTGTGATGGAAAGGTGTCCTGAATGATATCTGGAGATGAGACATGGTAAAGGTAGATTATTGACAATTGGGAAATGCTAAATTTAATTTGAAAGAGAATTTATTCTGGGGGCTAGCTGTTCAGCATTTTTCTCATAGCCAAGTGAAGAAGGCAAGGCATGTGGTGGTTGATGGCTAAAACACAGAGCTATAATGGCAAAGAAAAAAGATAGAAAATAGCAGGAACTGGCAGACAGAGATCGATAGGGGAGGAGAAAAAGCCTTTGACTCCTGCCTTGATGGTCAAGAAGCCCCCCTTGCTGAACAACACTTACTTTGCTGTTGTTATTTTTAAAGACTGGGTTCCGTCACCTTTAAATCTTAAATACTCACATGGGACCACAAAATCAATCTGATCAGCTGGTGACTTTTATTTTCCCCTTCTAGGGCCAACAGCATCCCAGTAAATTCAGGAACAGGATGGTTTTGACTGGGGAAATGGTGTAGTGGGATTCTTTTTAAATCTCTCCTTTGCATACCGTTGCTCTGGCTCCAACAATCCACGTTCAACACAAGTTCAGTCCTTGAGTATGAATGATGGTGCTGTCTGAACCCACACATATGTCAAATGCAATCATGGGTCTCTCGCATTATGCATAGTTTGGCCTGAAGCTTGAGACCTGAGTGGAAACCTTTTTTGGAGAACTAAGGGATCATAATGCATATCTTACTCTTGCCTCCAGTAAATTGGGTTTGCAACTGTGTTTGATAGAGGTGACAACAGGGCAAAATCTCTATGTGTAAGCTGGAAAAAGAAATTTACCTCAAATTACCTTTTTCTTTCATAAAATGATTGTCTGCCTCTAGCCTCAAGTTGCTAATAAAGAAGAGCTCAGTCTTATTTATTCATTTAAAATATTTTAGTTCTCCTTTCAGAGTGGTGTAACAAGATGGCTTAAAAATTTATAGAACACATGGAAAAATCATTACAATGAGAACATTTACAGCAACAGATTAAAGAAAAATTAACATATTTTAAAGCCAACAATGATGAGGCCATATGTATCTCCCTATGAAGGAAGTTCCAAAAGTGAGGACCATCACTAAATAAGTCCTGTTCCTAGGATCCATTCGCCTAATTACTCTTGCCGGTGGTTCAGACAGCACAGGGCCCTTTAGCACCAATCTTGGGGCAGTTTTAAGGAAGGGAGCTCTTTCTTTCTGTATTACGAAATTCAAGAAGCTCTAAATAAACAAAACAAAACAAAAAACTTAATCCTTTTTCTGCTTTCTTTCTCTTTGTAGGAGTCCTGATGTTGAAATGGCGTTAATAGCTCTGACGATCTTCTTGTGTATAGCTTTCCTAGATACAGGATGGGGAAGCAAACCTGCAGCCTATCACAGGCTTTGCAAATTAGTGAGTCATTTGGAAATTCTAAATGTCATCTTTCTGCATTGGGACTTTAAATTTCAGACTTTAATTTACTTAATTATTTTCATTCACTTTAAAGATATAAATGTGAGGTAGTGACTGAATAACTGTGGCTACACTCGTATTTTCATGTTATTGTGGGTTTGAGTCCAAGTATTACCAAATTCTGAAATATAGAGGCTTAAAAAATATACTTAAATTTTAAGCACTGGTTTCCTTTGGAACTATGTAACAAATGGTGAGAGGAACACAAAATTTCAGTAAAGAACAGGTAGAGGTATCTTCCCAGGACAAGTGGGAAGATGTAGATGGTTTAAATGACCCCAGGAAGAGAGTTCTTATTAATTCATTATCCTATTTCCCCTATCATCCCAGTCTGATTTGGGAAGAGCTACTGCTGCTTTATTAGAAAGGTGTGTACCTATGTGAGATTACAAGTGGCGATTCTGACATCAGGGTGGACACATTCAGGCACCTTCTGAGGGTCTCTGTTACAGCAGGGGCCCACTAACACAAGCCCCTGGAGTTGCAGCACCTCTTCATCCTAGCAACCTGATTGTTAACCTGCTGTTTGCTCTGACCAAGACAGTGTTGGTGAGAAGAGAAGCAAGAACTGCCCCTGCCTACTTGCTCACTGTCAAGTAAACAGGTGGCAGCAATGATGAGGAAGGGAAATGAGGAGACATAGTTGCATGTATGGGGCGGGGGGGGGGGGGCTTTTGTGGACATCTTGTCCAAGGGCCCTCCCAAGTTGGGTCTGACACTGACTGATGAGAGCAGTTAGGCTTTCTAATGATAGCGGTGGGTGAACGGCGCTGGTTGAGTTACAGCAGGAGGGGAGGTGCAGAGGAGGCTGTGTTAGCCAATGCATGCTCCCTCTGCCTTCTAAAACAGTACCAGTGGGAGGGTGGGTGTGCCCCAACCTAGCAGCAGGTTAGGGTATCTGCTTGCTTTGCTGCAGAACAGTGGATAGGTGCTCATTTGGGGAGCCCACAAGGTAGAGTAGGTGTAAAAGGTGACTGCAAGTCCAAACGGCAAGTCCAAAGGCATATGATTTTCAGGAAGTTTTGACTTCAGAATGATCAAGCAAAAGAAGACAAAATCAAATCCTAAGCTTCATGATTTTTGTTTTACTAATTATATTTATATCAGCTTTTTATATAACACAGCTTACATAATCCCCCCTCCCCCAGTTTCTTCTTACAACAATCTATAAGTCAGGTTAGACTGAGAACCAGGGGCTGGCTGAAAGTCACCCAGTCAGCTTAATAAGGGCTAGAACCTGGATGTCCCAAGTCCTGGTTCAGCATACCATTATGTCACACTGACTTGGTCAGGTTTCCCTGAGTTTCTCCCGCATAGGAAGGGCTCCTTTATGTAGTGCATTTCCCCTACCTAGGTGTATTGGGGTCCTCCATGTATATGGAGACTGCCTGTATTTCGTTCATTGCATTTATGCTGGCTCAGAAATGTGCATATGAAGCAGAGACATGTGTGCAGTCTTGACACATGGTGGTATGCTCTTTGCTCATTCTCCACTGGTGTATTAACCATGATATGTGATGTGGTTTGATTTTTCCCCTAAAAAGTGATTCAATTCCAGTATATGGAGCAGTTGGGGAATTGCTTTTACCAGTGAGAATTGATGATAGCATTGTTTTCATTTTCATTTAAAAGCAGTCAAATGTATTTGTTAAAAATAATTCATCAACGGGAATTGTGGTGATTTTATGTTCATGTGAATTTCAAGGCTTTACGAGACTTTACAGATTTAGGCCCATGACACGAGTATATAGGCAGTTGAAAATATGGACAAGGAAATGCCTATAATTACCAACTAATGCCTATATTAAGTAGACACCATCAGAAGAAACTGCAAACCTCTGGCTGAATTTTCATCTGATTTCAGCTGCTTCAGTAGCAAAGAGGGAAAGGTCTGTGGGTGCAAATTCAGCATAAGTTGTTAAATAAATAAATTGGTATCGGCACAGTAATTTTTCCATATCATTCAGACTCCCATGGTTATTCAGAATGAGGGACAAATGTCATTCCTTGCTGGTACAGAGTTTGTAACAGAGGAGCTTATGTCCTTATAGTACCTGCCGTGTTGGAGGAGTGATGGCTTTCAATACCAGTTGCTAAGGGACAAGAGTAGGAGGGCGCTGTTGCCCTCACGTCCTGCCTCTGGGCTCCCTATTGCCATCTGGTTGGCCACTGTGGGAAGAGAATGCTAAAGGAGACCTTTGCCTTGATCCACTGCGGCACTCTTTTTTAATGACAATATCCTCTGTGGCAGATTGTCCACAGACAAAAATGTGGACCTCATGGAACCGTACGCTTCATCCATGCATTATTCACATGTACAGGATTCATGTGAAGAAGAAGAGTGGGCCTATCCTGCTGGTCCCCAGCATTAACATCCCCAAGCTACACATGCCCTCACCCATCCTGCACAGAATCCCCTGCCTGTGAGAACTACTTGTGGAGAGAGGCTCCATGTGGTCAGGGTCAGATTAAGCCATTTGCCTGCACACTGCTGTGTGGTTCTAGCAGTCGGCCCCTCATTTTCCTATTCCTATTCTATCCATTTCTTTTTGCAGGTAGGGGCAACTGCATATTGCAATGGGAGGAAACTGAGCTCTGTCCTGGAAGACTTGCCTGATGAAACAGAGGAACTCTTCCTGGATGCCAATGTTATACAGGCTCTAAAGAATGCATCTTTAGCACAGTTTCATGTCCTGCAGAGCCTCAGCCTGTGCGAGAATGGGTTGAAACTCATTGAACCTGGAGCCTTCCTGGGAACCAGAAGTCTTAGTATTCTTTCTGTGGCCAACAATGCCCTTTCCACAAACTATTCTGTGACAGCAGCTGCTCTTTGCACGTTGCCTGTGTTGAAGAAGCTAGACCTCTCAGGAAACCAGCTCACTGAAGCTATGATGGCCACTCTGGTACAGCACCTGTCCTCTCTGGAGTACTTGTCTTTAGCCAGGAATGCCATCATGAGGCTGGATGATTCTCACTTCAGAAACCTTCCCAATCTGCAGTACCTAGATTTGCAGCAGAACTACATCTTTGAGATTGAGGTTGGTGCCTTCAAAGTTGTAAGAGGGCTGCAGCACCTTAATCTGGCCTACAACTACATTCCTTGCATTGTGCAGTTTGATCTGACCCAACTACGGATGCTAAATGTCAGCAACAACCATATTGAATGGTTCTTGGCTGCAGAGAGTGATGTTACCTTTGAATTAGAAACACTAGATCTTTCCCACAACCACCTCCTGTTCTTCCCATTGTTGCCCAGGGAAAACAAACTGCGAACTCTGCTGCTGGCACACAATCAATTGAACTTCTATGGGAATTTCTCCAATAATAGTTCAGAGAGCTTAGTGCAACTGCTGTTCCTGGATGGTAATATTACCAACATCACCACCCATGATCTCTGGGGAGAAAGCACCCATAGCAACCTCTCTTACCTAACCTTTCTAGACTTGAGCTGGAACCAGCTCTGGTACCTTCCAGACAGGTTTTTTGAAGGGATTGTTTCCCTTGCTTATCTGAATCTTAGTCACAACTGCTTAAAAATGGTACACTTGCAGGAGAGGGGATTGTTCAACACACTTATTGACTTGGATCTCAGCTACAACCAGCTTTTGGATCTACAGATAAACCTGGGTCTTGGAAGCAGCTTATCCAGCCTTGAGAGGTTAAATCTAAGCAACAACAGACTGCATGGCTTGCCAGCTAAAATATTTTCTCAAACACCAAAGATCACTACAGTTGACTTTAGTAAGAACCCGATAAAGATTTGTGCCCCATATGGTGAAAATTCTAGTTGTGTAGATCTCAGTAATATTGGCTCCATGAGGAACCTTTACTTGGCTGCTTGTGACCTTGAAATGCTGAGCAGCCACATGTTAAAGGGGACATCCCTTGCATGCTTAGACCTTTCTAACAATCCCAGGTTGCTGCTCTTGGGCTTGGGACCTCTGCAAGAGGTTGCACAGTCTTTGCAGGTGCTTTCTCTCAGGCAAACAGGTCTCTCTGCTACAGGCACAAAGTTGGATTTTTCAGCTTTTCAGAAGCTGGTAAGCCTAGATTTGTCTGAAAACTCTCTGGACATCTTCCCTGAATCTTTAACAAGCTTGCATCTGCACACTCTCAATCTCAGGAGAAATAGCCTCCACACCCTACCTCAGCACATCACACAAACGCAACTTGGAAGGAGCTTGCACGTGATCTACCTCAGCCAAAATCCCTATGACTGCTGCAGAATGAGTTGGTGGGATACCCTGCATAGCCTTGGCACTATATCCATTGCAGATAGGAGTCAAGTCACTTGCAACTACTCCTCCAGGTTCTTCAGTGTAGTCCGCTTACCTGAATCAATCCTTCAGGTTTGCAAATGGCAAACAGCAGATATGACATTGCTGTATCTTGTTCTTATTCTTCCAACCTGTTTGACCCTGCTGGTTGCTTCCGTCATCATCTCTCTGACTTTCAGGCAACATATTCTTCGAATAGTAAAGAGCAGGTACACAACATCCAGCCCATATTGACTCTGGGGTGTCAGGAAGGAAGGATGTGAGCCACTGAGCCTCTAGGAATGGGCTCAAGCAGGATTGGAAGGCTGGGAGTTACCCTCTCAGGTATTGTAGCCACAGTGTCTGGCAGTGTTTTTTGAGGAGCTGCCCAACTAGTGTAATAAAATGTCCTTTTTATGTACTTGGCAAAGATGGCACAGCAAGTTCTGAGTAGAGAGTTACAAGTTAAATGTACAGATAATGTACCATTGAAAAAGAGGCCTTTAAGAAAGACAAGTTTATGCAACTTTTGTTGGGAATCAAGCATGGGTTTTGTGTATGTGTGTTTGTATAAATGTACCTCCAATTTAGATGTAACTTGCTTTTTAATTCTAGGAGGAGCATGCTTCCTTACCACACCTCATTTGCAGCCTTGTCCATGTACTAAATGAAAGACTCATTGCAAAGCTCTTTCTAACATGGGAAGGAGGAGTGAAATCACAGGATTATACACTGTATGCTTTAAATTGGGAACTGTATGCTAAAAAGAGTCAAGTTACAACGTAGATATGAACAGTATGAGGCAGATTGCACGAGCCAGTTAGCCACTGACACTCATCCACTACAAAACAAATCTTTACTTTTCTGAGGACATGGTGGAAGTGCATCTGTGCTCCGAGACAGCTGCTAGATCAGGCTTGCCCAATTCAGTGTCCTCTGGATGTGTTGGACTGTAATTCCCATCATGCTTGGCCTGGGCATAATGGCTGCATATGATGGGAGCTGCAGTCTAACACTTCTGGAGGGCACCAGATTGAGGATGGCTGTATTTGAACATAGGCTAGACTTTTCAGGGAAACATGAAAAGGAATGCATGAGAGACAGGAATAAAATCTGGATTCCTCCATTGCCTAACTCTGCTGCCTGCTGCTTTTTCCAAGTGGTTTCTCCCAATATTTGTTTCCGGGACTAGATGAAAAGGCAAGGAGGAAATACCTCTAAGCTACACTGTGCAGTGAGATAAGATAGTGGCTGGGTTCAGACAAGTCATGGTGGAAACTGTGCTGGCGTGAATTGTCATTATGTCTGAACGTGTTGTGAGCTAGGCGTCCCCTCTCAAACAAGACAGACACTTCAGCAATGATTGGAAGAGTCTTTATTCCATACAGAAGTCTACTTATTCACAAGCCTCGAAACACACACACAGTGGAAAGTTGACCCCTCGCTCTGCCCCCCTGCACCCAAAGCTTTGCTTATGAACGCTTCAGCGCCAGTCACTGGAGGGAGGTGCACTATGGAAGTGGGTGCGCCGAGTTTCTTCCCATTGAGCCCCCAGTCAGTCTAGCCGGTGGGTGCATTGACGGGCCGTTGTTTCCATGTCTCCTGGGGTGTCAAGTTCTCCTCCCAAGAACCCCCTCCCCCAGCCTGCTGCCCCCCAGCCTGGCTGCTTCCCCACAATCAGGAGGGGGGGGCAGGTCTGTGGTTGTCCTTGAAGTTCTTTGATCCAGAGCTGGCTTGACGGGCTCACCGGGAGAGTTTGGGCAGCTGGGGCCTTGCTAGTCTCAACAACTCCAATATCAGAGTGATAACTCTGAGCCAGGGCTGGTTCAGCTCTCCACTCCCCCTCCTCTGAGTCTGAACTGCCATTCCCACCAAAGCCCTCCATCTCTCATGCACGCCTGGGAATCTCATCCGAGTGCACACGCATGACAGAATGCATCATTACCATGATGAAGCATGGTAATGATGGTCTCTGTGCAAACACACAGAGAAACAATGATCTGCTCTGTGGTTTCCATGCGTCACCATGTTTCCATGCTTGTTTTTGCATCTGAACCCAGAAACCACATTTCTGCCCGGTCTCCAAGTTTCTTCCATAGAGTGCTGTCAAAGGGTGGCTGTGACTGCAGCAGATCCTCCTGCCTGGGCTCATCATTGGCCAGGGCTTCCTAGCAGCTGCTGACTTGCAGCCAGCAGTGCTCTGATTGCTGCTCTGTGCTCCCCGCTTTTTTATTTTGCCTTTTTCTGCACACTGCCTAAGTCTGCCCCCCTGCAGCTTTGGAATTTTGGTGCCAGCAGGCATTGCCCTGCCACCTCCAGCAGTAGCAACAGTAGAGACAGCCATGCCTGGCACTCCTGCCAGGCTGCTCCACTGTACTGGAGTGGCACTTGGTTAGAGCTCTGCCTTTGCTCTGCACACAGCAGTGCTGGTCTCCTCTTGGGAAAGCTGCCCTGCATGCAAGGAGCACACAGGCAGTGCGCTGGATGTCACCAATAGGGTGAGTGAGAACAGCTGAAGACTTTCCCAGGCAGGCGCGCACATGTGCTTTTGTCCAGCAGGATGTGTTTGCACAGGTGCTTGCACCGATGTCCTTTGTGAGCCTGGCTGCAGTGGGGAGGCAGCCCCTGGCAGTGTGTGCAAGCCTTGCACATGGAGGAACCTGGACATATGTGCAGCGTCAGGAGGAGAGAAGTGTGTGCGTGCATGTGTGAGCCTGTCATTAGCACAGAGCAAGGCAGCAGTGGGGAGTGCTACTCTAGAGCAACAGTATTGCTGTAGTGACTAAGCCGTCGCTTTGTGGAGCAGCAGAAAACCAAACCAAAAAGGTAGCTCCTGAGGCCACACCCATGGGAGTGTGTAGGCCAATGAGGGAGAGGCAGGACATGCAGGCAGATGCAGTGCATGCTGGGGTTTATTGTCAGTGGCAGGGGCTGATGGGAGACATGCCACCATTAGGAGGAAAGATGGAGGTGAGAGGAAATCATACATGGAACCCATGTGCTTGTCTGAACCCTGGCCCCAAGGTATAATACCACACCATCCAGTTTCTGTACAGCATAGCTTAGTGTTACCTGTGAATGCAGCCCATGGGAAGGGTGCTTGGTTTTGCTTGTTTTCTTACATGCTCTTTTTTGTGTAAAGAGTTGACCTACCCAAGGTTCTATCAGTGAGCAAGACAAACACATATTTATTGGCTTCTCTGTATGTTTAGTTTGGCTTTCAGAATGAAACTCAGATTGGCTATGATAATACATATTCTGAAAGATAGTCAGAAACTCATTCTTATTTTTTAACAAGCAGAGTTTGAAGCTTACTCCAGTCCCTTGCTGGGAAGTGTGGAGGGGAAAATGAAACAGTATCATCTGCTAAAGTGCTGGAAATGACCAGAGTTGCCGAACTGCCAATTTCAAAGTAGGATTCTCAGCTCAACATTCAATTTCTACCCTGTTTGCCGTGTATGAATGGTTCTTTCATGGTTAGCAAAGGTGGAGTAATCCCAGCTAGTGGAAGTCAAAAATTCAGGCTCTTATTATTGTTTTCACTCCTTAATTGTGTCCAAGCTGATATTGTAAAAGAAAGATACAGACAAGTGTATATGAGGCAACTGCCAAGAAATTTTACCAATTTATTGGCTAGAATCTGTCGTAGGTGCATGTGTGTATTTATTTGTGTCCTAATGATAAATATATGAACAGTTCAAGTGAATTATCCATTCTGTCTGATGTGGGGGTGTAAAATGTCACCTTTTACTAGCTGCTCTAATAAAAATCATAATTAATTAAATAAAAAAACCTTTATTTCTGACATAAAGAACTTAAAAAGAAAGTTTTGGGCACTTTAAAAACTGTGCTCATGATGAGTACAAATATTTTCAATAAAAATTAGGCATACTTGTACAACTGCAGAGGTGCATGGTTCGGAGAGTGCACATATTGGAAAACCTAGTGGGGCAGTGTCCTGGGGAATACCCTCTGTCACATGGTAACCGGTAACCGGTACCAACCCCGAACGTTGACTCAAAAGAGTCTCCAAATAGGTTTTTTCTCTTCACATGACTCTTTCACACTGAGATCCTTTTACTTTTTCTGCTGTGACTGCCCTCAGGGCACTACACACTTGCACCTTTCCTTAAAAACAGATCTGCTCACAAAAACGTGCATCCCACTCCATTTTTGGAGAAAATAGATTTTGACAGCCAACTGCCAAAACACTGAGTCCCCTTTAAAATGGGTTTTTCACAGGGCACTAAGTGTTTTTTGCCCAGGTTAGACAGGTGTATATGTCACAGTCAAAAAACTTTGGACCTTTCTTTCCCAAAAGGAGTTCTCTCTGTATGAGCATTTGCCTGAGGATTCTTTATATTTCAGTGTTCTCCTTCTCATGCCTTTTCCTCCTACAATGACCTCCCTTGTATTTTAATAAAGGATGCAAAAGCTGCTTTAAAATTGGATTTTAAGTTATATGATGAGCTAACTCACATTAGCCTTATGCAGACTGTTATGTGGTAAGAAAAAAAGGATGGAAAAATTAAGAGGGAGATCCCTTGCAGTTATTGTTGGAAACAATCCCGTTTTCCTGACATTTTCAGGAGCACAAAGCTGGAAAACTGGGATGGAGAGGAAGGGGCAAATTTGGCTGGGCTGCTTCCTGGGCAGGCAGAGCCAACATGCTGCCCCTACTCACAGATGACATCATTTCTGTGGGTGGAGCTGAGAGGGGGCACACGGGCTTGCACCTCCCCAGGAAGAAGCCCAGTTCTTCGCTCTTGACTGGTGCGGTGTTGGTGGGCGCCACACGGCATGCAGAGAGGAGGGTGAGCCGATGTCCACTGTGTGCCACTGCCCAGGCTAGGGCTTGGGAAGGAGGTGGTGTCTGGGGCAGGTGGGGTGCCCATTTCCCAATAGCCTCCTCCCAGGAAAACTAGGAAGGGGAGAACTCTACACTGCCTCTCCCCTGCAGGCCAGAGCTGTTGCTGATCATGCTGACTGGCAAGGGAGACAGGAGTCTCATTCTTCTTCGTTTCTCTGGGGGAAGGCAGTGGGGGAACCAGCAAACAATTGAAATTGTGCTGTGACAGCACTGGCTGGGGTGTGGGAGAGGAGGCACTTTTTCTATAGCCCCCAGGGAAAGAGGCTGAGGGGTAAGCCCCCCAGTGGAGTAAGAGTGGAGGATCCTTCTCCTGTGTCTCCCCCTCATTTCCCCGCCTCTTCCTGGTTTTGTTGTGAAGTAATGGTGGGAAAAGGAGGAAATGGTGCTGCGGGTCTGAGCTGCTTTGCTTGCCTTCCTTTGATGGAAGCCAAGCAGATGGGCTTATTTTCCGCCAGCACAGTTGCACTAGCAACAGGTGGGCCCTAGTTATTTAGCCTTGCTTCCTCTTGAGGACGCAAACTCAAGAGGCCCCTTCCCATACCGTGCACCACTTCCCCAGCCTCTGAACATTGAACAGCAGCGTGTGGTGACTGTCCCTTATGCTTCTGCCTGTGCCAGGAGAATGGGATTGCTCACAAGCAGTCCAGCTCTCCCAGCATCAGTGCAAGGGAGCAGGTGACAGCTGGACCGAGTGCTGCTTGGGTACTTTGCCAGCAGTTATCAGCTTGCACCCTCGAACAGAGTAGCAACCCTTTGTAGCTTTTTGGTTTGACCATGGCACAGCAAGTCATTTGATTTGGTCGCACTCCATCTATGGAATGGCCTTCCAAGAGCAGTTCACCTGGCGTCATTACAAACTTTTTGGCACCAGGCAAAAATAATCCTATTCTCCAGACATGTTAATAATTGATTTTATATCATTCAATTTTAATTGGTATTTATATTGCTTTTTAGTTTAATATGCTATTTTAATCTTTATATCTGACTTCTCAGCTCCATATTGTGTATTGTTATTGTTATATGTTTATATGTTTTATTATAAGATGTTTTTATTGCTACTTTTGTAATCCCCTTAGAGAGTCCCTGGGACTAATTTAATTGTGGAATATAAATCAATCAATCAAATAAATACATTACATAAATAAATACATAAATCCAGATGGCATGCTAAACCTTGGAGGGTTTAGATGAACCCCACTACAAGCCTTGGCTACTTGGGATGCTTTGTAAGGCTCCTCAGAGGGGCTTATCACTCACACTCTGGGAAGTCGGTGGGATTCAAACATGCTGAACCACCCTCTCAGTAGCTTAGTATGTCGTGCAAACCTTGTCAATGCCATCAGAACTTCCTGTAAAAGCCCAGGAATGGGTGCACAGTCGATGACAACTTAAAAACCTCATTTGAAAACACCCTTAATTTCTACATCTGAGTGTTCCTGGTAGGGCTTAATGCCAGTGGTAAAAAAGATCTTGTCAAGGTTGATAACACAGGTCTGAAGCAGCATTTTTTTCACAAGGGACTGCTAGTACCTTAGCAAACAGCTGCTTTTGGTGTGTGTGTGGATCAGTGCTGACTTCTTGAGGCCTCTCTGTGGTAGAGGTTTATAGGCAGGAAAACCACATGCTCAGAAAACCTCAGCCCATGTTCTGATGTATGCACACACATTGTGGATGTGTGGGTGCATCTTGGTCATCTTCTAGTTGAGGCCAGGTTTCTAGTTGCCAAGAAATAATATACAGTGCCGTTGAAAGAGAGCAGGATAATGCATGGCATTTATATTTCACTTGGCCTTATGTAAATCATGAGCTAGTGCAACCTAAGAGTGACATTCTGTTTCAGAAGAAATGCACGATGTTGTCCACTTCATACATTTGATGAAAAAACATGGTTGCCTGTGAAAATTAGTCCTTAAGGGGATAGTGCTAGGCAAATATCTCTGAGATATTGTTTTACAAGCAGAGTTAGTAAGGAGCAAGCTCTAATGGTATCTAGTTATGAAGGCTGAAATGTTTAATTGATCTGTTAGATTAAGCCAATTTTCAGTAAACTAATGCACCTAAAAGGCAACAGATTACAGTTCCTGGCATCTGTCTTCCCAAATGTGTTTATCACTACTGTCTTAAACCGGTTAGGGTAGTACAAATTGCCCTGTTTTTCCAGTGTGTTCAACAGTTTCTTGTAATGCTCTTGGGAGTAGCCAGAAAAGAGCGTGCCTCCTTTCCCTTATTAGGCAGATGTTAGCTTCCTCTACCATATATAGGAGCAAAAAATTTAACTGGTTCTCCTTTTTACTTGGGGAAGGCAGCGTCAATTCAGGATGTGGTTACAAGCATGGGCATCTGGCATTGCCCAACTGAAAATAAGTAGGAGGTTAAAGAAAAAATGGTAGGAACTTTGCATTTTATCTGATCAGACTATACCAGTTGGGAAATCACTCCTGCTGTAAGACAGACTGAAAGTAGCTCTGTGAAGGCATCAACTGAACCATTTGGAGCCCTGCCCTCTGTTGGCACCTTTCATGTTCCCTGCTTGTGGCTCAGTTTGTTTCAGTTACAAGCCTGATCTGGGTAGATGTAGCAGGTGATGGGTCTTCAGTATGACAAGGCTTTGAATTGCCTGTCCCAGCATGGTGCCCTTTAGATGTTTTGTATTACAGCTCTCATAAACCCCAGCCAGCTTGTCCAATGGTCAGCTGTGATGGAAGCTACAGTCTACAACGTCTGGAGGCACCAGGCAGGGTTCTTTTTTTGGTCCCTTACTTATTTGATTTAAAGCCGAGCTTCCTACCAAAAGTGGCACTCAGGGTGGCTTGCAATACAATTTAAAGTGCGTTAAAGCAATGGCAGGTCTTTGCCTGCCATTGGAAAGATTGCAGAAAGGAAGAGAACCTGGCTTTCCATAACTTGGGAGTAGCCATGGAAAAGGCCTTTGCTTGCATCACCACCAAATGTACCCCTCGTGGCAGTCTTGAAAGCAGTTCCTCTCCAGAAGATCCTGAGGACTGGGCAGGTTAAATGAGAGAAGTTGATCTTTCAGATAGCCTGGTCCCAAACCATGTAGGGCTTTAAGGTCATACTCAGCACGTTGAATTCTGCCTAGAAACAGACCAGTAGCCAGTGAAGCTGCTGTAATAAGAGAGTTACCGGCTCCCTGTGACTGACCCTGGTCAACTGTCTTGACAGAGCATTCTGGGTAGTTTCTGAACAGTTTTCAAAAGAAGCATGTAGAGAGCATGAAAGTAATCCAAATGGAATACAACTAAAATATATGCAACCATGACCACACCAGACATCTCTAGGAACAGGTGTGGTTGGTGCACTAGCCTCAGCTGTACAAATACATCCCTGGGTACTGTCAAGACAACCTGGGCAGCTAAGTTCAGGGCCAAGTCCTAGAGTATATTCAAACTGTAAACCCACATCTTCAGGGGATGTGTAATCCTATCCAACGTGGACTCAATCTCCATTCCCTGATCTACTTTCAGACTGACCAGAAGCACCTCTATTTTGTTCAGATTAAACTTCAGTTTGCTTGTTCAACCTGTTACCAACTTCAGACATGCTCCTTCCTTGAATTTAAAAGGAAAGGTAAAATAGCATTGGGTAAAACTCTCCCAGTAGTTTCATGTATATGTTAAATAGTATAGGGGAATCCCTGAGGGACATGCCAGGCTAATGTCCATAACATGGAACAGAAATTCCCCAACACCACCTCCAGGAAGGGCCAGAGTCACTGTATAACAGTGCCTCCCAATCTCATCTTGGGCAGATGTCCCAGAAGGATGGTTGATGGTTTGAAAGCCACTGAAAGGTTCAGCAGAACTATCAGGGACGCACTCCTCCTGTTCAATCCCTGGTGCTGGTTTGGAGATTGGTCAGAAATAAACCAGGGAGGGCTTTTTAAACAATATTTTACCATTGCCTCCCCCCACCCCCCACACCTGTTTTGATTTTGAATTTTTTACCATACACTTTTAATTATGTTTTAAAATGCTTTATGAACTGCCCAGAGAGCTTTGCCTGTTGGGTGGAACAGAAATTAATTAATTAGTTAAATAAAAAATAGGAATTCACCACTACTCTTGCACATTCAGGCTATCCTCCCCTGGCTGATTGTATAAGCCAAGAAAAACAAAGATTCAGCCATCAAGTGGTAGGCCTCACTTCTCCAAGGATCCTGTCCACATCCTCTTTCATGCCACATGTGAGTGCTGGCTTGCATTTGGATAAGAGCCATCACAAACACCACAGACAAAATGTTTAGTAATCTCAGGTACAATACTATTTAATGGAGTCACTTCAGTTAGCAGCCAGACAAGTGCTGAGAAACGAAATGGTACACCTAAATGCACATGTGAATAGGATTGTGGCCTAGGTTATCTTTCGAATGGTTGAACATTACTCATATTAGAGATCAGTGCTATACGGGAATGGCTGGGTAGAGCTAGGCGGCTTCGATGTGGTTTGTGTGGTCTGCATAGCTAGCTTCCGGCACAGAGTGTGAGGGTGCCTTGCAAGTGATGGTTGTCTTTTCCTTGGGCGTGGGGACTCTTCTACTTTGTGGTGTGCAATAACACCAAGCTCGGAGGACAGGAAGCTCTTGTATGGCCCTTCTCAAAGGCTTAAGTTTTGCAGATACAGTTTCTGTCACTACTGGCATGTACAGACATTTGGTATCTTTTCTAAACTTCTACCAGCTAGAAACTTATAGAAGAAATACAACAGGCCCCACAGAGCAGAGCTTGCAAGCCTATGAGGAAGAATAGCAATGAAATGCAGTATTGACCACAGTTGTCCTAGTTCACTGAAGTGTGTGTGCTTTCTGCCCAGCTCTAGTCTGTGGTGGAAGTGAGAAGGGAGATCTTTTACTACAGGGCTGAAGAATATCTTGCATGGTCACATGTATGTATATTTTACTTATTTTGCATCTTAAAGCCTAGCAGCCTTCATGTGACTACATTATGCCCAAAGTTCATCGTTTTTCTCTACAGTTTCAACAAGTGTCCACATCAGATCATGGGTGATCTGTACAGCCCCTGCTTTGTACGTAAGAGGCATTCAGCTGACAAAACATATTCCCTTTGCATTTGGCTAACCTGCCTCTGATTGCCTATAACTCAAAGGTTCCTTCGATTCTTTTCCAGTAGCTTTTCTCTCGTCTTTTTGCCATGAGGTTACTTTGTTTTATAGTGTATTTTCAGAATCTATAAGCGATTCCTCTCAAGCAAGAGGATCACAGAATAGACTTTGGGGGGGGGGGGGGGGGGGCTGTGACTCTTGAATTAAATGCTTTAAACATTTTTTATTAATTCCTGAACATTTTTGGTGTGTGTGGGGGTGAAACTTATGTCCAGGCCACTCTCCTATTCAGAACATGGGTGCAGTTCCTGCTCACTAAAGGTGCTGAGAGGGGGTATGCTTGGGAAAATGCACACATAAAGTGGGCTAGGTGAATGCTACTCCACCTTCTTTTATATGGACTTAGACATTTCTGTCCTACCTTATTTTCTGTTTCTCCCCAACTCACCAGCAAAAGGAGTAAGAAATTCATGGCAGTGAGCAAAAAGAGTTCAACACTGCATTGCTCTGAAACTGTACAACCTTAAGGTCTACTCTAGTCCCTGCCATCTGCAACATGCTTCCTATTTTTAGGTGCCTTGCTTGGTGTTTTCCTAGTGTCATATAATCTTGAAATTTCTCCTTTCCTTCCCTTTTTTCCCACTGCCCTCTTGACCCTTTATCTCAGGCTTCCTTGTCATTTGTTCAGAATGGCCATATGGCATACATTATAAGGGACATCCCTCTGTTTAAATGGTAGGCCAGTCCAAGTCCAGTTTAAATACAAAAAACTGTATGAAGGGGAGAGCTGGGGCCTACAGGCACACCTGGACAAGCGGACCAAGCAGAAACAAGAGTCAATTGGTCACAGCCTTTTATTCCTTGCTATGGTGGAATGTATTGTGTTACTAATTATATTATAGCAGTCTCCTCTCTATATGAGCTAGACATAGAAAGATGCATTTGTAAATATTGTGGAAACAAGTATCCTTTGCCCATTTGGGTGGTGGGGGGATGCATTTGTGATACAGAAGTGTCTCTTCTACTCTCCCTTCAATACTTTCAGTTTGAGCATTACTCTGAACAAAACAATTTGTACTGCAGTTTTGGGTAGGGTGATGTCACAAATGGACTCTGTTTGCTTACTCTATCTAGCTTGCTTTGTCCCACAGCAATTAATAAAGGAAAGAGTCATTCTTTAAGATAAATACAAATGCGGCCTGACATTTAATATTTTTCTTTATTCTGATTATGTGTTAGCCGATAAAGAAAGTGGCCAGAAGGGCTTTTCCATCATAAGTTAGCTACATATCTTACTTAAAATACTTCTCCCTCAAATAGAGATAATTTACTTCTAATAGCTGTAAAACACCAGTGATTGTAGTGCCCAAGGATAGCAATGTAAATTGTTTTCAAAGTTGCTCTTTGCTCAGACATAGATTCTTGGTGATTAGTCCTGCCAAGTACAGAAATTTGCCCAAAACTAACTAGTAATAAAACACTGCCATCTGGAGACCAAATATTAGAGATATTTTTCATTTATAATTTGACTATGAATAGTGAATACAAAAATTGTTGATAGTACATTTTGAATGTACTGATAAATTGTGGTATATTTAGATTAACCTCACTATCTGTATGTATTCTCTTGGCCTGATTCCTTTGTCTTGCACATCGTAGAATCCTTTAGTGGCAAAGGAGAGCTGGAAGAAGCTATGAGAGGTAGGAGAATTGGGCTGAGGTAAGTGTGTCTATGTTCTGCAGGATTGATTGAGGCTCTCCATCCAGTAGACCCCAAATTCTTACAGAAAATTACTGGAGAATAAGAAACATTGGATGTATATGTGCACTTCCCTGATGTCACAGCAGAATATTGCAAGCCATGTAGCAGTATAAGGCAGTTAGTCCCAGATTTGTGTATTGGAAAATTGTGTTAAGGAAGGGAACACTGTATTCTTTCTTCCAACACAGGGAGCAGCAGGGAAGAAAAACACTGACAAGGTTCTCCCTTGAAAATAAATTCTGTTGGAATTGTTCAAATGGATTGCATTCCAGCTGAGAGAATTAGAATCAATTTAAACACTAGTCAGCCAAAAGCATCATAATGAAGTATATTGGCTCTAGATCTTTTCACTATAATCAAAGTGTGCCCCAACTCCATTTTATCTTTTGTAGGATATGCTAGATAATCCCATGATGATAATGTGATATTCCCAAAACTTGCAATAGTTCAGTGGCAGATAATACATGACAGCAATCTTGCAGTAGGATAGCTGTGTTATCACATACACTCTTAAAATATAGGGTTATGATATTCTAGCACACAAAGAGGGAAACATGAACTTAGCAAAGGCTCTTAGGAATGTAGTCCATGACAGAAAACAAGAAGACTACAATCAGTGGAGGAGTATCAGGTGATTTTATAAGTTTCACGTTGCTTTAGCTCAGGGATGTGGAATCTCTGGCCCATGGAGTGTTTTTAGTTCCTTGAATGGCTGTGGTTGTCTCAGGTCCTTCCCCTTAGGGTACCCCCACCATTTTCTCAAGCTGGAGATAACAGCAGGATAGGGGCAGCAAGTGGACAATGCTGGGAGGAGCAGCTGCACTTCTCAGCATCAGCAAAGTCCCCTATGATATTAGGGACAATTCAGCCCCAGCAAACCTCACTGCAAATTGGCTTGGCACTCTTGCATTTGTTGGATTTCCATCTGCTGAAGTAAAGCCAATGTGGGGGAACTAATGTAGTTATTATAGTATTCAAGGATCCACCTGAAAAGCTCTTAAAAATACATAGGTAGAAACATATCTCTGTAATTTCAATTTCTTCCTACACAGGAAGATCAGGCTATCAGATATCTTTGAATTATGTCAACATTATTCTTTTCACTTTTCAAAATTACTGCATTGATCACCTGTTTCTTTAAATTTGACCATTTAGTGCTGGGAACAGGTTGTGAAGGTAAACCAGTATTATGATAAAACTTTCATATTTGCAGCACATACAAGACTAATTTGACTTCGATACTATAACTTAACAAGCACCAATAAACTTGAAAACATCCTGAAGTGCTTTTAACTCCATATTTAAACATTGCACTTTTTATTATAATGTTGATTCGCCCCACCTGCAGAAAGTGATATTTAAATGGGAAGAACATACTATTTTTTAAAAGAATTACTACTTTGCATTTGGTATGACATTGTAATAGTATAAATATGTACTTTAGTAAATATACCAGTATTTTCCTCAAGAGAGGTAGCTGCAATTCAGGAAGTTTAAATAACAAGCTTTACTATCCTACCTTCTTGAACAAACAATACAATGAAGTAATAAATAGGACATAAATTACATATATAAGGATTGCTAAAAGTAGATATTCTAAGCTGAATTTGTCTGCAGAGGCAGAACCATTATTTTTTTTATGAGGGTGTGTACCAATACAAAGTACTAGCACACACTTGGTAAATCTCTTTGAGCTGGGTATGCTTTTTCATTCAGTATTTCAGAACACTTTTTATATTTTAATGTGTTGAGACAAAATATAAAAATATATATTCCTCCATTCAAGTTGACTGTACAAAATGTAGCATCTCAATGACAATATTAATCAAATTTTGTTGTAAAAATATAAAGGGGCACATTTCAGGGACTCAAGTATTCCCAGTGTGACCATGAGTCCAAAGCTTTACTCTGGATCAAAACTCATCTGATTCTGTATCCCAGTCACAGGCTTCAAGCTCTTCATCCTGAGGGAACTCTACCTCTATATTGTAGACAAAACCAGGATCATCTTTCTTTTTTCTGTTCTTTTCAAATAACTCATCCATAATTCTTTTCCTTTTGGCTAGTTCCTTGTCATCTAGTTTGTTCAGATCCTCCTCAGGGTCAATTGTTTCTTCTTGTTGAATTTGCTCTAAACTTTGAGCCAAACTTTGTCCCCTCAAATGGCATTTCAGCAAATGGTATAATTTTTGTAGCTGTTTCAGTGAGACCCCTTCCAAATAAGACTTGTGCCGGGGATTATTCTTTAGCTGTTCTGCTGCCCTGCTGCAGTCTGCACCAAATGGAAAAAAAAAAAAAAAACAGGGAAAAATAAAACTCCAATACATTTAGGAAATAAGCATTTAAATATTTTTCCTAAGGCAAATCAGATAATGTATGATCTCTTCAAAACTTCTTTCTCAGCTAATTTTCCTCTTTACTTCCTGTGTAAAAAGACCACTCTGCCACCCAAAAAGGCTGCAGATTCATGTTTGTGATGTGAAAATTGAACAGAAAAGAATGAAATAGAATGCAGCAGAATTATGGAACATTTTTGTGTTTGTGATTTGTTATAGATGTTCAACCAAGGTTATTATCCTGGGTTAGATCAAACTGTTCTCAGCTGTGAATAAACACTGACTGAAAGTAGCTGTATCTAATTCTATTTTTCTAACCTGATCCTTCCTATGCTTTACTATCTCTGCATGCTTTCTATCCTTCCCATCCACCCATCTGTGTGATATAAACCTTGCTACAGTTCAGAATGGACAACTTATTTTCTACCTGTTTCATAAATGGTAACTCGGCCCTTTCATTTGCCATTTGAACTTCTAAAAGTTGCTCCTGAATATTCTGCCCCTGCCCACCTGCACCCCTCCCCACAAAAACAAAACAAAACAACCCTATGTGGCAGGGCCTAGGGATTTCACATTTGAACAATACAGTATGGGGAAAGCCTCATTGCTGCATATTGGTGTGGCTACACAAATGTAAAACCGGGGGGAGGGGGGGAGAATCTTGCATAAACCAGATAATTTTACTATTCCGCTAGGTACAGTGGACAAAGGCAATAAAAGAATGACTGCCAAAGAAAGAATATGACTACTATAATAAATTCTGCTCATGTGCTTAGTCCTGAGGGATTTTAATGTTTTTGTATGTTTTATGTATATAAAAATGTTTATATACATTTTCTTGTGCTGGGCAGAGCTTAGTTTCGTAATTAGACAAGCATTTGAGTGGACTGAATGCTGGCTCTGCCATAACTCTCACTCTTCCCCTTGTACTTTAGATGCCCACATTTTATTTTTTAAAGTCCACTGCAAACATTTTTCATGATATATTTATCTCTTTGTGCCCTGAGAAGGGGAAAAACATGTCAGCATAGTCACTTTCCGTTGGTATTAAATGGGTGGAAACAGCAAGTTCTAAAATGTGGTACATGAGGAACAAGAGTGGGAAAACCCTGTCTCCTGGACCATGTTAGGGTGTGTTTTTAAAACATTGATTTTAAATGCAAAACTTGTGGGATTTTGAGGTCCAGCTAATCAGCACCATGCACTGAAAACATTTCCTTCAGGAACCAGGTTTTCCAGTTTGACTCCAGACCAAAACTCATGATTACACTTTCAGATCATCCCTGTGTCTTCTCCTGGAAACAAAGAAATATGCTGTAAACTCCCTTACTCCAATACCCAAATTGTGAATAGAAATGTTGACTTCTATTCTATGGGTCAACAAAGTATGGGGACTAAATGGCAAAAGCAATACCTTTCTCATACAAATGTAATAGTGTGCAAAACTGTGTTTAGGCACTACTTTCTGGGAGCAAAAGTAACTCACCACCTACAAGTTGATCTACTAGAAGTGGAGAAGTGATAACTGCACTTGATTATTTAGAACATAAAAAAGCCATGTATTGGATCAGACCAAAAGTCTATCTAATCCAGCACTCCTTTTTCCACAGTAGTCAACCAAATGCCTCTTAGGAAGTCCACAAGCTCTACATATGGGCAATAGGCTTCTCTGGTGGCTCCCCATCCACTGTATTCAGAGAAATCATGCTGCTGAACCTGGAGAAATCAAATGGCTGTTGTAGGTGCAAGTTATAAGTTAGCCAAATATGCATGCTGTACCTGAGAATTTGGAGAAATTTCGAATTGGCATGATGCGCTTGCGCAGGTTACTCTTGAGCTGATCTTCATAGATTAAAATAATTGATGGAGGCTGTAATCGGATGCCACACTTCTTTGCAACGTAAGACATCTCCTTCTCTATAAGCTCAATCAGAAGATTACCCACCCATTTATGTCTAGTGAGTAACTAGTGTCTTATTTCATAAAAGCAGTTGAGACCAGGCAGCACTACAAGATTCTCAGCAGCTAAGCGCAGCTTTTTCATCCCCTGGGGCGCAGCGGAGGGCGAAGGTGGGAGTCGGGATCGCTGTCAGTGGGGTACAAATTTGGCCGGGGCTTTACCCAGTGGCAACAGCACAAGGCAGCGCAGGGCGAAAAGCCCAGCCTGAGAGGCTAAGGGGCGGCCGGCTCTCTTCCCCCTTCCGCCTTGTTTTTCCTTTCAGTCAGAATGACGTTGAGCATCAGGTGATGCAAGAAAACCGGCTGGCAGGGAAGCAGGCGCGGAATAAATTAGGAAGGATGGGCGCCAAAAAATAAGTGGTGGGGCAGCCAGAAAGAGCCGCAGGGAAGGACAGTTGGAGGCAACAGCTGGGCTGCTGCAAAGCGGCTGGAGTCACTTTCGCTGCAAGCCCGCCCGCTGGCCGTAGAGCTGCCCTCGCGGCTTCGCGGAGAATCAGCTTCGGATTCCTGGGATTGAACCTCAACTCATTTTCAACCCTCTCAAGTGAACCTTTTGGGGCTGAAGGTTTGACATACCAGGTAGCCTTTTATTTTGGAGAAACGTCACTTATTTAAAATAGAAACGCTTACATGTGCAGAACAGAGCGCCAGCCTCTATGTGGATGTATCCACACATACGGGACTGCCTGAAAATAACTCTGGAATCACTGACGTGAAAGCCACACCTGAGAAGTTGGTACGTTTTATTGGCAAACAGAGAAGTCTACGAACAAGTTCTGTTTGAGTCCTTTCTCACCTGGTTCTCTGCTCCAGCTCCAGCTCCCTCCCTCCCCTAAAACTCCTCTCTAAGCTCCCATTCCCATCTAACCGTAAAGACGTATCTCTACATGGCAATAGCCGTACGCACCATCTTTCAGTCTCCGCCCCTCTGTCACCATGACGACCCGCGAGCGTGGCCCCCGCACCAGGACCCTTCGCATTGCCGTCTGTGATGATGCCTGTAACGGGAGGGCTGTTGAGAGGAGACGCTTACAAGCATTCTGTGGCGGTTTCTGTTCTTTTCCTTTTCGTCCCGAGTTTGGCTTCATTCACGCTCTCTGGACCTTCTCAGACAGACGAAGAACGAGACAATAATAGACGAAAAGGCCATACCATCTATTAATTAATAATGTCCCAGTCCGGCGCAAATGAGACGTTCCTGTAAAGAAGCCTTGGACATGCGCAGAGAGGCAGCGCATGGCTGAGGCAAGGGAAGTGGAAGTTATGTCGGGTTTAGTCCTGCACCTTCTAGCGGTGAGGAAAGAATTTTCTTCACTGCTTCCTTCGGCATGAGACAAAGAGGGAAGCGTCTCATGGAATACAAAAGGGGGTCTGATGAGAGTTAGCGGGGATGCTTTCGACTTGGATGGACCTGTGTGGATCGTTGTTTCCTAGGTTAGACCGACGGAGAGGGTTGTCGACATCCTGGTACGGAAGCATTGCTAGCTTTCCTTTAATCCTGTTAGGGAGTTTTGCTTGATAAAAATACTCTTAATAGCTTTCAGTTGGGTTCACTACTTTCTGCAGGAAATATGTGGGAGAAAACGTCGTTAGATGGAAAGCTTGATGATCCTATCGTTTTTGTGTTGTGGATATTTCTTATTTGTAATAATAGCTTCCAATGTTGACAAAAGTGCTTTTAGAAATTTGCTTTTTGCGTAATTTCCATCCTGCCAATTTTATGTCCAGAGAACCTTATAGGTCACTGCAGCAACCTTCATCAGATGTTGCAATCGAGGACTCAACACGGTTGACAAAACCATTGTGGATCTTGGGCGGATAATGGGACAAATACATGCTGTTGTATCAGGGGCTCAGACTTCATCTCTGTCTTATGCTCAGGTTTCTTGGCCAAAGGACTTACATTTGAGCTTATATCAGTTCATTTTTTGTGAAATAATGTTGGAGCAAAACACTCCATTAAGAGTGGTTTTATCTTTGGACCTGAGACCTTTGCCTTGTACTTAGGTGTTTGGAAACTTACTTTTCTTTTAGTCAATCTTATCACATCATTCTGGGTGTTTTATGACTGGTCATGCCCAGTATGTTAGCTATTTTATACACTGGCAAGTCCCCCCCCCCCCCCCATGGGAGCCATTTTGTGAGAACCTCTACATCATTCTCAAAATTCTAAATATGCCCATTGGCTTAAAGATGTTGGGGGCTCTTTGATATGCTGTGTTTGCAAGTGGGATATTTTTTATATTACTGTACACTCTTGGATCTTTGAAAATGCAAGTGCTACATTGAGAATTATATGCCTATGATATTCCTGTCATGGAAGATTCATGTAATCACACCATTGATGAAGTTCCACCTTATCTCAGTCTTCCAGTGTAATTGAGATTACATGCAGATTCATAGTTTGTACCAAAGTATGCTTACTAATCTTGGGAAGGATTAAAAATGCATATTTACTGAAAATGATACTTCTCTGTGCTTATTCTTTCCCTTTCATGGGGATTTTCTTCTGAAGAGTAACCTTAAAGTAGTTAATACTAGTAACTAATGAGGAGTAGTCAAACTGTTTAGAACTACAGATGGTTTGAACTACAAGCCCCATAATAAATTACCATTCCCTATGTTAGCTGGGGCTTATGTAAGTTATACTCCAGACTATTTTGAAGGCTAGATCTCACTGTGTAGCAAAAATTATAATGAATTTTATTTTCCTTGCAGTTTAATTCTGAGATGTCACAGTGGAGAACAAATGCACTCCTTCAGATGGGCACATTCTCAATTTGGATAATCTTTTTTTGTTGTATGCCAGCATGCATGTGTAAGTGGAAATCCATGTTTGCCTTGCAAATAGTCAGCAATAAACTGATCATTGTACTAGTTGCTTGGATGTATGGCACGTTGCTTACTTGTCCTTCATGGATGGGGTATAAATTTTGATTTAATGTAGTTATATACATGTAGTTGATTACATTTGTGATTGCACTCTAACATATTCGGTACATTTATTGGTATTTTAATGCAGAAATATTTTATGCTGCTCAGTAGTTCTGTGCCTATACCTTGAGACTGTTTTAAGTAGTTCAAGTCTCTCCATAGTCTGTAGAATTAAAATACTTTAATATTTAAAATTAAATATTTCAGAAGTCGACATTTATGCCCTTTGTTTCTCTTGCTACATTTGAATGCCTGTCTCTGCCCTCTTTCAGGGAGAGAAAAAATACAGTCAGTGGCTATAGATGTGCTTTGTTTCCACGGCTCAGAAATACAGTGGGCAAGTTCACATGTTACAGTAACAACCCTCTGTGGTTGCCACAGTTTACAGTATTTTAGTACCCAGCAGATGTTCAAGCAGTTTCTTAGTGTGATTTCTGCCCTCCTGGCTCAGCCACTATGATTTCTGCTGGCAGCCACTATGCCTATAATTCAATTCCAAGGTGCATCGCTCCCAGCCTACGTATTCCTAATTTCTCATGTGTGTTCTGTCTCCCTTGCTCCCCTGCACGTCCCTCAGCCAAAGCTGACTTTTAATGAATCTTATATAGAAATCATCTTTTCCTGCTGCAATTCTTCTCCACATTGAAGAATCTTTATCTGCATCCTCTGCTACCCCCCCCCCCCCCCCCCTCCCCCTTTCTATATTTTTCAACGGCTTGCCCCTTTCTTGAGGTGCTCACCTACAATTTTTGCTTCCCCCCCCCCCCTCCCCCTTACCCTCACCC